ACTGTGCTGTAGACTGGAGACTAGTCTAGATTTCACGCAAAGGTCGTTCTAGAGAAAGATTCAAGAGATTTTTCGGGTGGTTTTCTCGCTGTTGGCAGTACAGCAGTCGCTGCGGTAAGTACAGTCACGTCATTGCCTGCTGTTGTACTCATGTACCCAAAGGAAGAGGCTGCGGTATCTCCGCACGCACCAGGGTAAGTAACACCAGCAGCCCGTTGTAGCTCCCGTGGGTGTGTCATATCCCTGAGCCGCTGGCATGACAAGATATGGTGCAGTTTATGCCTCTCGCGCACGCTGTCATTGTACACACACAGGCCTGTGTGACCCCAACCTACTGTCTATGTGTCGATGATGTTGCCGTTGTCTTACACTGACGTGTGTCGCGCCGGCGAGAGAGCTTAACATCGCCGAACCGATCGGTGTATTGAGCTACACTACAGTAATCGAGTAATGGAGCTTGTTGTGTCGCTCGCTCCCTTCAGCACTCATGCGGCAGCCTCAATCTGCCTTCACGAGAGACAACGCAGCACAGCATCATTGTGAGCACATGCGTGTTATCTAGGGGTCTCGTTTTCTAGGCCGGCTGGTCGGAAGCCTAGCGCGACCTACGCTCAACCTCCGCTGCAATAGGTGAGAAGCTGTGTACTGGTCTGACTGATACAACGGTCGGGTTCACAAAACGCGGCGAAACCGGTCTGTTGAATGGGGGGAGGGGGTGGTCAAAACACGGAGCCTCTAAATGACGTGCCGTGCATACATCGACATAGCTCACCGCACAGGTTGGGCACGCTGGCTGCTGCCTGCCCTGGGTGTTTGCTGCTGACTTTGTGGAGACAGCCAAATAGGGCGGGAAACCTGACTCGAGCGCGAACACGTCCGTTCTTTGGAAGGTGCGCGGGCGTCTGGATTTGTTATCTGTTTTCCTCGTGGGTGGCCATTGTAGAACACGTGTTTGAACCCGGGAACCTATACCGCAGGGGATCACACTTTTGTTGCAGCGAGCGTAGCTGTTGTTGCGGACTTGACTCGAACTTCCAGTTCAGTAGCCACAGCGAGCCGTGAGCTTGGCTTCGAGAAAACCTCCGCTGTATCGCTGTTGGCGAAGAACGCCCAAATATTGGACAGAGGGGGGAACAGACAAAGCTCGGTGTGCTCGTGTCCATCTCCGACGTTGTCCGTTGGTTGATTTGGTTCGTTCGGTGTGTTGCGTACAATAGATGTCACCGAATGGACATGTGTACGCACCCCGTCGGCGTTGAGATCGACCGCTGTCGTCATGTACCAGCTCTAGTGTTCCCGTACCCTGCACCTTCGACGACGCACTATACGTGAGACGTGTGCATAGACTATTTTCTTGTTCGCGGTGTGTGAGTTGGTCGTCGTCGGCAGCACCTGCAACGTATGCACGCATGGCGTATGCTATGTACATAGGCTTGGCGGGAGGGTCCGTTACGTATGCATACTCTGCCGCTGAGTGGTGCCCTGCTGGCGTACTGTTGGCCCCTGCATCACAGCTGTATCGCGGTATCTACTTGCGGGGATGGCACAAGTGCAGGTTTCTCTGTCCAAACGCACCCGCCTCTCCCGCCCCTAATCAAGTCAAGTACTACTTGCAGGAGAGGCGGCGATACCAGAAGAAGGATGCAGGAATATGTGCAGCAGTTTCCCCTCATAGATTGCTTTCGCACGTATGGCCCTGCAGGCGGTAGGCACAGGCGCGGATAGTTCACACCAATGGCAACCAATGGTACATACCGTTTCGTGCCGGCTGCGAAATATCAGGAGGGGTTTGGAAGATCTACACAACACTCCCGAGAGGAAATCCTCGATTGGTTCAGAAACGATGCTACTGCTGCTGAATACGTGTGGTGTACGGCGGTACGTTGCTACAATAACCGTGGGGTATGCTAGAGGTCTCTTTCTGTCTCTCTCTCTGATCCTCGTTGTTCTTGACGTATATGCATGTTGTGTCTGACTTTCTGGGAACAATCTCAAGACGTCCGCGGAATGCATGCAGTAGTCTGCATGTATACCCCCGAGGTGCATTCATGAGTGTTGCTTGAAGTCGAGAGCGTCGGAACTACGGGACACATCGGCGCCTCTAGCAAGCAGCTGGTAACAAGGGGGCTCATGGGAGGCAATCTATAACTGGATTGGAGGGGGGGCGGTCTGTTGTAGTCTACTTGGTGAAACCTGCTTCTTTTTTTGTAGGATTTAATCACTCGCGTTATATTATCAGTCTACCGTATACGACACAAGATAACACACCCCCTGGACCGATTTTTCAAGCCCGATTTATCAACAGCAGAAAGAGTCGCAGCGCCGAAAACGGCGGCGTTCAAGTCGTCTGGCCGAGAGCTCTCCGACAACGTATCGTTTCGTTCACGCATCATCTTCGCCTTGGCGTGGTCGAGCTTTGAAAATCGCTCCAGGCGGTGTGTTATCTTGTGCCTTATACGGTATACACCTCTGCGTAATATCGTTGCAGTCTGTGGTACTAGGGATATAATAAGTAACGCTTCGAGGTAAATATATTTAACTACATGTATGTATGACCTCCCTGAATGCTACTTTAATACAATCGACCCTTAGGCCAAACTGGATTGAGAGCACGAAGTAACACATGGGCGAGGTGTACCGTAGAAGGCGGAGATATGGCACCGGGTGCGATCGTTTTTAAATATGTTCCTCATTTTTTTGTTTCGCACCCCGGTTGCGATCTCTCCGACCCGTGCCATCTCTCCGACCCCGGTGCGGAAATGCAATTCAATCATTTCGTTGAGCTTTTTGCCCCGGTGCGATCTCTCCGACCGGGGTGATGCGCCAGAAAGCACACACAGCGGGCCGACTGGTGCTCGGCCGTGTCGTGTGCACGCACCCCGGTGCCATCTCCCCGAGCGATACCACAACTCCGCCTCGGTACATGGTACCAGTGTATCCACAAGCAGGCTTGTGCAGTGTAGGTACCGTTGTGCTGACTGGGAGGACGCCGGTAACGGCACCATAGGCTGGTGCGTAGCAGCTTTCCATGCCGCGAATGGTCATGCGTTTGGGCGCGAGTCTGGCTATGATGGCGTGACAAGGACAACAAACGATTTGGTTTCCACCTGAGGTACCGGTACACGTGGTATCGCCAGGTAGTCTCCCGCCTTCGTTTCGGTCTTCCTCTGCGAACACCCTACGTACGCAGCAGTACATTGAAAATCTTTGTGTGTTTGGTTGTTTGGTTGGCAACTTCCACACCAACCAAATAACAACTATTAATAACATCCCGCGTGAACCGCGACCGTTTAGTCATACCTAGAGGAGTGGCGCCCCACTGACTGGCACCGTCCCCACATGTAAAACCACGCGTTGTGCCTCTTTCCACCAGCTCAACAAGAACTCAATCTTGGATTTGGGAGTCGGCGAGATCGCACCCGGTGCGATCTCACCGACCTTGGTGGGGAAATCGAATTAAATTATGCCATTCTTGGCTTTTTTTTTCACACCCAGGTGCCATCTCCCCGACCGGGTCCATCTCTCCGCATTTTTCGGTAGCTGTCCGTGTGCCCTGTTACGTGCTTGCGTATTAGTAGAATAACGCGGCACATCATGTCTACGGGACCTCCCCAAAAAGAATAACCGCCGTCATACCCCGCAATTCGAGTTGTATTTTCGACCGAAACCTCAATGTACGTCGCCAACAGCGTTGCACAGTTGTGTGCTTTGAGGAAATAGCGCGAAGCATGACCTACCTTACCCAACCACCACGAGCCGCTCAAATCCGGTTTTGGAAGGGATCCCAGCAGCATGACCAATAACCCTGCATGATCAAGTAGCATGAAATCCCTTTTCCCCTCAGCTTCTTGTACATACGCACATGAAGTGCGCATGAACTGCCACAAATGCCCCCCACGACATATTCACACGCTCAACGGCGTGTTCGCGTTTGTTTGTCCCACTGGTAAGACTGGCTCATTTTCATTGGTAAGCCGGTTAGCGCCGCCAATGCCTACGTATCAAAGCGAGACTCACGTGCACCCGCCACACCGATGCTAACCACAGAAACACCGTCCGTACACACGCGCACGCGTACCCCCATGCTCCGTTCGCGGTGCCCCCTATTTGCCGTTGCCCTCTGCAGGCCATATTCTCGAGACCGACCGGCCAAGTGAGTTCATCACTGGCACCGGTGTCAAACAAGCGAGAACGAGAGAGAGAGAGAGAGAGAGAGAGAGCGCTACGGCGCCGGCCGGTTCAGCAGGGCAGGGAGAGGTCGGGAGGAAATCAAAGGAGCGGGAAGGTGCTTGCGGCAGGTTCTCGGGCTCGGCGGCAACAGGCTGGTAGTTGGCGCCACCGACCTGTTGACTAGGTGTACCCAGGCACACAGGAGGGCGGGCGCGTTTTTCGGGGGACTCGCAGGGGAGGAGGAGGAGGAGGAGGAGGAGCGTCGGCATCCCGCTTGGTGTGTTGGCTCGAGGGCCAACAGCGGCGGAGCGAGCAGGACAAGGTCGCGATGGCCGTCGGCAGGAAAGCGGCGGGATTCGCGGTCGGCTATGGGGTGACGATGGTGGTGGCGCTGCTGGCCGTGCAGTTGCATCGACGACGAAAGGGAGCAGCTAAGGAGAAAGGTTAGAGAGAGTCTCGTGTTTTTGTTGTTTTTGTTGTTGTTGTTGTCGTCGTCGTTGGTGCTGCTAGTGCTGCTGTTGCCTCTGCTTCTGTTTTTTTTTTTTTTTTGCGCTCCAGAAAAAGCTCGAGGCCTGTAAACTGAGGGATAGCGGGGAGATGCCATCCTCCATTGTACTGTAAACTTGCCGGTGTGGGCAAAATCGCTTTTACTGCCGCCGTGCATGATACCGAGAACCGCATGATACCGAGCACCCACCCTCCCGGTCTACTTCGCCATCTAACACCAACACATCTGCCCCCCCCCCCCCCCCCTCCCACCCCCGCACCAGCAACTGCAGGCCAGTGCCCACAACAAAACACCCCGCCTGCCCAAGATTCTGAGCAACCTCATGCCGACGTACAGCACGTCCATTCCCTCCAGCCCCAGCACCCCGGGACGGCTGGGGACGCCACGCCGGCACGACTGGAACCGATCCTTGAGCTCTCAGGTGAGCCTGGTGAGTCGAGTGTCCTGCTTCGCTTCTTTCTGGTCGTTGTTCGTTTCGTGTTGTAGACGACAATTTTAGGCGTTGGAGGGGGGGGGGGTACTCACAGCCGTTCGTGCCCTAGTCGTTAGACTATTGACCTCGCATCCCTACAAAGCCGGGACGGAGCACGCCGGGGGGAGGGGAGAGGCAAATTGGAGTAGGAGGGGATTTGGGGTACTCCTGTGTGCTTGCTTTAGATTGATCTACTCTGCGTGTGCTGGTGGTAGGCTTTTCCAAGCCCGCGGGTCAAGTGACATGGAGACAGGGCGGTATTCTAGGCTGAACTATGGATCTTGATGTTGTTCACCCTTTCGCACACGTGCGGGTTGCCATATCACAAACCTACCATGTTCAGCGCGCGCTTGTTGAGACGGAGGTGGGCGTATCCTGTGCCACATGCACCTGAAACAGAGAGAGAGAGAGAGAGGAAACACGCAACAAACTGATTCGGCATACCTCCCCCCCCCCCCCCCGGGCAACCGCTGTGACGCACCTGTATACCAACCACAACGATAACGATAAACGCCGGCAGATGGGGGTTCTCCAGCAGCACCCCGCCAACAGGCAGACACAGCGGCTAGGCTACTGGACCATGAGCCGAAAGTTGGTGCTGGTGATGGTGGGGCTCCCGGCGAGAGGGAAGAGCTACATCGTAAAGATGCTCATCAGATATCTCAACTGGATTGGTGAGACAGACACGCACGGGTACTAGAGAGGGTGGGGTTTGTGGAGCAGGAAAGAGTTGGGGAAGACGTGAATTGCTTCGAAGGAGAGATTGAGATTGGGGGTTGCGGGGGGGTGCACGCATGCATCGTGATTGGGACAATAGACGCTTGGATGTACATCCGCACACATAGAGTAGAGAGGGGGAGAGAGCTGGCATGTTATTTCCCGCCGCGCCGCCTTGATTGGCAACCTGTGAAATCCTCGCAGCCTTCGGGTGCTCAGGATGTGGGTTCTAATGTCGGGGCAGCAGCTACACGACCCGGGAGTCTTGCTCACCAAATTATCCCCAAACGGATTACACAGCGATCACTTCGTGCGTACGCAACACTACTGTAGTTCGACTTCGCGGTGGACAAGAGAAAGAAAGAGACGGCTGAATTGTTCTCTTGAAAAAAGAGGAAGACCAGCTCCACCGCAGACTGTTCAGTAAGGTTGAAGGAATAGAAAAAAATCACGTGCGTGGCTGATATGTACGCCTAGATAAAAACAAGGAGTACCGAAGAGGTGGAAAACCTGACGACCAAGAACGAAAGGGACGAAACACGCACCCGAACAACGACGCGTGTTTGTGTTCGGTGTTGATATGTTTCTCTGCTGCTGCTCGCCCGATGGGTGAGAGCATCGGCGCGTCGGGCAAGAGCTCTGCGCGATCCTTGTGTCTTTTCACCGATGGGCCGATTGTCGGCCGCCGCCTGCTGCCGTTTCTTAATCTCGGCCTCAGCAGCACCATAAACAAGGGAGCATTTTCGCCGCACGACCACCGGGGCATCACTCACAAAGTATTTCCAAACCTTTTTACCCGATCCCGCGCTTTCGATACGCCTCGTCAATCTCACGGTGGTTCAGGGTTCCCAACGAAGGTGTTCAATATCGGGGACTATAGGCGGAGGTTAGGTTATGGCGGGGTGGCGAAGTCTTTCTTCGAGAAGGGCAACGAAGAGGGACAGAGAGTGCGCTCCCAGATGGTTCAGGTGATCTACATCTATTTTTGTATTTTTTGGTGACGTGTGTGTGTGTGTTTTTTGCGGGTCTAGTAGGTTTTCGGGTTGGAGGCGGTGGGCGGCACGCTCTAACATCGATTCTGCCGGTGAAGGCAAGGAGCGAGGGGGCGTGGCAGGCTGGGTAGAGGCTGTGCAGGCGGCGTTGCGTGGGTGCTGCGGTGCTGTGGCTGTCGGCAACCCGACGAAAACAAGAATGCAAAAACCATCACCCAGAGAAAAAGTGGCACCTATTATAGGGCGTGGACCAGTTCATGTGAACACTTTAAGAGTAGTGTAGAACCACCGCATTTACACAGGCTGTTCAGGCAATGCAGTTTTTAAACGAGCGGAATAGTGGCACCGGCTGTTGACGAGCTCTTGGATGCGCGAAGAAAGTAGTCGAAAGCACGATTTTCAAGGAAAGTGTCAAGACGACAAACACGTCAGAAATCGAAGGCGAAAAAAATAAATAAAACAGACTTACGTGTGCAATTTCGAAAGTAGCAACTTCAGCAACATGAACCAAGGGTGGTGCACGGGAAGAAATCGCCACGATGAAAACAGTTAAAAATTATAATCGCCGATTTGACGACCGAAAATCAATCAACCAATCACAGGTGGCGCAGGACGAGATGTACGAGTGGCTTCAGGAGGAAGACTGCGCAAAGGTGGCGCTCTTCGACGCCACCAACACCACCAAGAAAAGGAGACACCTGCTGGTGCAGCGCTCCAAGGTAGAGAAGAACGCCATGCTGGTGTTCATAGAGAGCATCTGCGACGACCCCGTCATCTTGTCCCAGGTATGTGTTGTACGTGCCGACCGACAGACAGACAGACAGATAGACAGGAAGGACAAGTAGCCAGAAAAAGACAGACAGAAAAGGACAAGTAGGCAGAGTAAACAAGCACACAGAAAGGACAGACTGGTAGACAGATAGATAGAGAGGCCGACGGACAGACAGAGAGGCCAGGCAGCTGTGGTGCCCTGCTCTAGCGCCGCGTCGGTCCCTGTACGCCTCTCTGTCTCTCTGTCTCTTTTTCTCCTTGTCTCGCTCTCGTGTCCTTCCTGGTCGCCTCCCGAAAAATCCAATCTGCGACGACCCGCGGGAGTGTTTTTCCCAGGACGATTTTTTCGCTGACAAATCACGGGACTTGGTCATGGTCGCACTCGCGAAGTGAAGCTCGCCTCTGTCGGTTGTCTTCCCGTGTGTTTCGTGTGACGTTGTAACCGGTCTTCTTTTTCGTGCCTCTCGGTCATATAGCCGCTGCAGCCTTTGTCGCTGGTGCACTGGCCGGTGGAGTCGTGACGGCAGTTTGGAGTGTGGACGGAGGCGTTGCTTCCCTGTGAAAGAATTGGGCCGTACAATGTCGGGCCATAAACGAACGAACGTTCGTAGCGCACGGTGCGATTGGTTGAGTGTCGATGAGATCGATTTCCGCCGAGGCCTTTGCTTCCCAGGGGAAATGCCGGACATGCTTTTCTTCTTTTTTTCACACTGGATATCCAGAAAGAAGCGGCCGCGCCTACAAATACTGCCTGCCTTTGCTCCGCCGTGTACCCAGTCCGAGACTTGAAACATATAGCGAACGTTCACCGGGATGTTTTTTTTTTCCAGTGGAGGTTGATCTGAACATTTTTGAGCTGGTGGGTAGCAACGAGTGTTCGCTTATTTATTTATTTATTCTTTCCTTCTTTCGTTCGCTCTTCAGAACTACAAGCTCAAGCTGAAGAACGACGACTACAAAAACCAAGACCCCGATGCCGCGCTCAGGGTAAGATTCGACACTTTTTTTTTTTTTTTTCAGCACCTTGTTCTTACCACTTTTTTTTCTTGTTTCTCTCTTTTTCTTTAGTTTGTCATTGTTTGCTTGAGGGTGTGTAGTGTCCACGCCAGGTCCCACCGTTTCGCCAGTATCTGGAAACGGCAAATGGGCACACCACGATGTTGATGTTCTCTCCATCCTTTCGACCTCTTGAGCACCACGTTGACGTGTTTTTTGGCGTGCAAATTTTCGAGGTTTGAGGATAGTGGCCGCCGCTTCAAGCCTGTAGTGTCGCTTCTTGTCCCTGGGGTATGGTACGTTCGTTGACAATGTCCTGGACACAAACTAGCAGACGTGCATCGGCTCCTCAGTTTCATAGGATATTTCCTTACACAACCACAACACGTTGTGGTACGGGTACCCGCCAAGGGAACCAGTTTGACTGGGAAGAAAGGAGGAAATTGAATTACACCCGCGCACGCCACCCTTGTCCGATTTTCGGCTTCATTCGCGGACGACCATCGGCACCTCAGTTTTGAAGGATAATTCCTTACAAAACCACAACACGTTGTGGTACGGGTAACCGCCAAGGCAGCCAATTTGACGTGGGGTGACGAGGAAAAAATCGAAATCACGCATGCCACGCCGCCCTTCCAATTTCCCGGTTGAATTCGCATTCGTCTCCGCAGGACTTCAAGCAGAGAGTGAAAGCATACGAGGCTGTGTACGAGACAATAGAGGACAACGAAGACATGGGGGACATCCAGTACATCAAGCTCTACAACGTAGGGCAGAAGGTGGTGACGAGAAACTGCAAGGGCTACTTGCCGAGCCAGGTCGCCTTTTACCTGCAGGTGGGCTGTTTGGAGTGGCGGCAGCAGTCGTGGTGGTAGTGCCAACAACCAATGGTGTTGCTGCTGCTGCTGCTGCTGCTGCTGCTGCTGCTGCCGCTGGTGTGTTTTTCGTTTTACAGCGAGCGGATAAAGGTGCGGATATGGAGAAATAAAGTATTATGTCATTGTCCGCGCCGTTGCGGCAGGGTGGATGACGTGTTGGAGAATAGCGGGTGTGCTGTGGTTGTTTGGTGGTCTGAACAGATTAGCGGCGTGAAAATGCGTTGTCCCGATTGACAAGGCTCCTTGCAAACTTTGTACCAGACATTAGCAAAAGCTCGTTAGTGCCTCTGCCCCCCCACCGCCCCCCCCCACCCCGTATCCTCCCTCAGCCTCCTTTGTGTATTTATTTTTCCTTACATAAACACAGCAAGTTTATCTCTTGCACAAGTAAAAGTCAGCCTCCTTTGTGTATTTATTTTTCCTTACATAAACACAGCAAGTTTATCTCTTGCACAAGTAAAAGTCCGCGATAGATTACAAGTATCTTGGAAAATATATATTAAATATATATATATACAATGTACAGGGTTTAAATGCATATCTTGTTTTTTGTTGTATTGTGCTTTGTAGGACAAGTCATAAGCGTCCCTTTTTGTTTCTCTCTCGGGCTGCCTGCCTTTTCTCCGCCACCTCTCCACCCAGAACATCCACATCGGACCGCGCAAGATCTGGCTGACCCGACCGGCGGGGAGCGTTCTCCCAGTCAGCGACTACGACGTCGGGGAGGGGGGCGAAGAGCTAACGGAGGAGGGGAGGCGTTACAGCATGACCGTCGCAAAGTACCTTCAAGCGGAGCAGGTGGGTGAGATTTTCGAGGCCGGAGGCGTTGTCGTACCTCGCGCGGTGGTGTGTGTTTTGTGGGTTCAGCATCGGCTGCGCTGTTGTGGTCGGCCGATCAGCGTCAGACTTCCAGCTGGAACGAAAACGTCTCCAAGCTGTGTGTGTGTGTGTGTGTGTTTCTTTCTGATTAGCATCGACCGCGCTAGCCGGCCGACCAATGAAAATACTCAGTGCCGTTGAAAACACAGAATGCTTGTAAAGGCCATGAGCGGTGTGTGTGTGTGTGTGTACTTGTTTTTTCTGGTTCCAGCCCCTCACGGTGGTTCATTGAGCAGCCAACGAACAGGCCGGTCGCAGCGGGAGAAAAAGGCCAATGTTGCAGGTTAATAACATTGACTTAACATACGGGCTGCAGCGCTTGTAGCGGCAAACACTGCTCATCTTTGTGTTTGATTGGTCTATCACGTATCCAGCCTGATCTTGACCCCTTAAATTTTGCCAATCGCAAACAGTGACCCTCCCACCCACCGCAATCGCGCGGCCATTTATTCTAGGAAACCTCTAAAATCACGGGTCCAGGGGCGGAGATCCTCATCTTGGCGGGGACCCAGAAAGTCGACCGCGAGTCGATCGCTCACTTGCAGGTGCGGTGTCACTTCAATGACGCCTCCTTTCCAACAACTCCGCGTAACGCCCGCAGGCCCATCCGAGCATGGCAGGAACACGTCGTGCCCGTTCGCCTCCGTATCCCCGTGCATTTGATGCTGTACCCACATGCGACTGCACGCGATCTCTGTTGTCTCTGCATGTTGATCACGCCTCGCACTCACATGTATCAGATGGTGCACCACATGCGAATGCACGTGTTCTCTCTGCGTATTGAACACGCCTCGCACCCATTCTCCTCCGCATCCACATCCACATGTGTGTCAGATGCTGTACCACATTCGAATGAACGTTTTCTCCGTCCGCTCTTGATATTGAATACGCCTGGCACCCATTCGCCTCAATATCCACATGGTATCAGACTCTTTACCACGTGCGAAATCACGTGTTCGCTTCCATGCTGAATGCGTATCCACATGCATCAGATGCTGTACCACGCGCGAATTCACGTGTTCCCTCTGCATACTGAATGGTTGTCCACATGCATGATCAGATGCTATACAACCCACATGCGAATTTAAATGTTCTCTCTGAACGTGTGTCCACATGCCATCAGATGCTGTATCCGGTCGCCACGACCCCCCTCCTGAACGAGATCCACGGGGGAGAGCTCTCCGGCATGGACCGCGAGAGCTTCCGCACGCAGTACCCCGAGTTGTGGGAGCTGAGGGAACAGGACAAGCTGGAGTTCAGGTTCCCGGGGGCCGGGGGAGAGTCGTACCAGGACGTGATCCAGAGAGTGCGGCCAATCATCGTAGAACTCGAGCGGCAGGTGCGAATGTTTTTTCGTTTCTTTGCTCTTGACACAACACATCCATGTCCTCTGCAGACAAGTTTAGAGCATTTACTTTTTTGTGTTGTTTTGTTGATAACTCTCCTGTGTGCTTGTGCTTTCGTGTTTTTGTTTGTTCTGTTTGGTGTTTTTTTTATGACGAGTTGTGCGTGTTTTTTGTTGTGATGCTGGTGGATGAAGCCGTTCCGCGTGCGGTCACTGGTGATGACGGAATCGCGCCGAACGAGAATCGGCAGGGGATTGGACGGCGGAGCCGTTGCGTACGCGGGGGGGGGGGGACTGGAACGGACTGGAAGCCGACAGCAGGCAATGCCGGGCCCAAGGCCGATCATATTTACCGTCTGTTGTTTTCGGCAAGAGTTTCTCTGGGCTGTCTGTGCCTAGCATGTGTAAAACGTTTTATTTCGTTAGCCTATAGACAACGATGTACTCGGCTGATGCCCCGTCACATGCCGTGTATGCCGCATTCTGAAGAGGGGTGTCAGGGCAGCTCGCCCCACCCCGTGCGAATGTAGGATAACGCTTGATTTCTGTCCTGCTTCCCCTTAACCAACGTAAGCTCATCAGCCAGCCCCCACCCCGTGTCCCCAAATTGCGTGTTGCCCCTGTCAGCCACGAAGCTTGGTGGTTGTGTGCCACCTGGCCGTGCAGCGGTGCCTCCACGCCTACTTCATGGGCATCGAGGTGTCCAAGGTACCGTACATCGACCTGCCGACGCACGAGCTGACGGAGCTCATCCCGTCGCCGTTCGGCACGGACTGCCGACATATCACCCAGGCCGAGATGATGTCGCACTTCTAAATTTTCGGCTGGAGATAGTAGCATAGGTAGGCGCAGAGCAGGCGGGACGCGACATCGATATGACGTCGCGCTTCCCAGGAGCATGACGGGCGGACGTGGTGGCGAATGTGTCTGTTGTTTGTGCGACTACTGTAGCTCGCTCGCTCGCTGCGTACCATGTCTCTTCTACGCAAGGTAAATTTGGTGGTACAGATGATGTTGTCGTGTTGCCCAAGATCGAGTCGATATGTATTGGCCGACGCAGAAAATCATCCATGTCTCCGCCCCCCCGACCCCCGGCTACCCCTACCGGCAAGGGTATGTCGGCGTGTGGAGTAGTTGTAGCAGCCTGCTACCGTAGTGCTTCCGCCCTGCGTCACGTTGATTCCTCATAATGGTAGCAGGAGTGACGAGGCTGACGGGATGTGTCGTTCGTTGGCTGCGAGGCCGCGGTCATGAGCCGCACGTACGTGCCGACCGATAGATCCGGTTCGCTGCGTAGTTGGTAGACGATGTCGCAGGCGAGTGAGTGAAACGGTTGTTCTTTGGTCATCGTCTTGGGGTTGCGAAGCGATTCCCTTTCGTCTTGTCTACAATAAAATATCATAGACTGGTAAGAACAACAGCGATACTTTGGTGCTCATTGGGGATAAGATCGTGTGTTATGCTCGGAAAGCGTCCCAGGCATTCGGCGGGCGGAATTTTTCTAGACATTTCCACCGAAGTTTCAGCAGGGAATGTTCTCGGGTGACACGGAAAAGGGCAGCAAATGTGTCGTCAGGATTTCGGTAATATATGTCGACAAAGCAAACTCGGCTCGTTCGCGCTTAGGTTCTGTTATATTGACTATTTTGCTTGTTTCGCCGGGAACGCGCGGAATCGCTGGCCAGCCTCGGGCATGGGGTGTTCACTCCCCGTCCGGACGGATGGATGCGGTACCAGCGGCAAGCAGTGAATGGACTGCATGAGAGAAAGGTTTTCGATTCTCGAGAATAAATGAAATTCGAGAGTTTTTCTCCCGCGATACGCAAAACCTAGGTGGGGAAAGCAATTAATTTTCGTTTGTACGAAACACAAGAGAAGGGAAAGAAAAGCGGCGGGGTCCATCATTCGTTGTTGTGGTACACCCGCTATCGACCCACGGGAGAGGGAGCTTTCGTTGAAGCGCTCCCGGGGCGAATATTTGCTGCTGTGTTCCCGTTGATGTGCAACGTGCATGGTGTGTAGAATGTACCGTAAAAAAAAAAAAAAAGGCCGAGAGGTCACAGGCTCCGAGGCCACTGCAACAGCAGCAACAGGACACGGCTGTAGTCAGTTATTGGTACAGGATTTTTAAAATTCGACGTGGCGCTCTCTACACGTGTAAACTACCATCCGAGGCGCGTGGTACGCACAGTTCGTTATTTTCCTCCCACTTGAACTTCATAGAGGACACACGACTACATACTGTGGACTATTTTTCTAGGTTCACGATGTGGGTGTTGCCGATGAAAAACTAGACTATTCATTATTTATTCACTTTCCTATGTATGTATGCGGTCTGGGCCACGCGTTCGTACGTCCCAACCGGAAGGACGCAAGAGATGGTACCCCCCTGCAGTAAAAGAACGGCTTTCAAAGCTCGATTGCTAGCTTGATGTGGTTTCAGAAACACCGGCTTTCCGAAGTATCGGGCTCTTCTCCTCACCCACATACATGTGTGTGGAGCAATCGAGCTCTCTGAAAGTCGGTCTATGGAGGGTGCCATGCCTTGCATCCTTGCGGTGTCTACAGTAAACAGCCAGTGGCGTGCGGCGGGTGGGCGGGCGGGCGGTGTCGAGAAGGGTATTTCGGGGATCGTCAATCTCCGCTCAAATTGCCCACGGTCACACGGTCATGAAAGTGTTCATGAAATCATTCACTGGTCCGCAACCAACCACGTAAAGGGTACGATTCGTACGATTTCTACCGTTCGTGTTTATCGTCAGCTTCCTCCAGAAAATGGTTGGTCGCGGGCCGCCGGTTTCGGCGGTCCGGCGCCTTTCAGAAAGTAACACTTTTGAGATCCCATCGCTTAAAGCTTCGGGATGGATGGCGCCTGGTAGCCTGGTAGCCTATTTGCAGTAGTGCGCCCTGGTAGCCTGGTAGCTCATTTAGTGTCTAGGAAGTAGATGTTGTTGTCTGCACATCAAAAACCGTTCGTTCTCTCTACCCCGTACACTCTATTGTCCGTACGTACGTATACGGTCGATTCCCGTGGTCACAGTCTAACTTATACCCAAAACATGAACACGAAAATAAAGTGGACCCGGTCCACAAGTCAATAGACATCAACGGCAGACAGTCTGTAGAATCCTCCGGTCGCCGCTACACGCTGCGCGAGGTAACCGTAGACTGGAAAAAGAAGGAACAAGAAAAAGAAAGAGAAAGCAGAGGGAGAAAAAGAGAGACAAAACGACAGAGAGAAGCACACCGTAGAATCACTAGCGCCCGTAGCGATGAGCAAGCAAACAAGGTAACACAACATAAACCAAAACAAAACACAACGGGCCGGGCCACCCCAGACAGCACAATGGCACGTCATCGCTCGTGGGGAGTTGGTGCAATGGTGCAGTGACGAGGGGGGGGGGGATTACATTTGTCAATCAGGGGGAACAATCCGGCACAACATAAGTTGCGCCACTCGGTCCTCTTCCCGTTTACTCTCTTCCCTCGCCGTCTCGTCCGTCTTCTGCACCCCTCCCGCCCCAGTGGTTGTTGCCGTGTCCGTGCTGTTGCCGGGCTTGTTGTTTCGTTTGAACCCCCTTTGCCGGCTAGGCTCCTCTCCCTTCATCCTTGTGCCAGGAGGTAATGAACCTCTTAGCTCCCTGCAGTACCCCCGTATGCCACGGTACACCCCGCTCCATCTTCGCCGCTACCATCCAGCTGTTAGTGGGACTCCGAAGGCTGCAACTGTGTATGTGACTGAACATTGTTCCAGAAATGAAGCAGCGGGCTTTTTTTATTGGAAGATCGTGGACAAGATAGATTGGGTCGTGAGCTCTGTAGTTACATCTCACACACAACTTTTAGTACAGGAGGAAAAGGGACGGCTGAGCCCTCCTCTCGAAAACAGCTGGAGCATCTATCTCTCTTTGTTGTGGTGACTCGTCATGTATGTGGTGGTTGTCTGGATGATCAGGTAGTGGTAGTGATTTTTGTTGGTGGTGTGAGCCCGCTTTGGTTGGCTTTTGACCACGGAATGTGTCAACGTCGATTCGACCGGTACGAAAGCTAGCAGATATAAAACCGCAGAACGGGCCAAGGGTTGGGACATATTTCGTTGAGAAACAGAAACAAGCGCTCTATAAATAGTGTACGAAAATATGGCTGACAAACACAGCTAGCTGCGGGCGGTGAATCCTACACTGTACTAAACTCTATAAATAACCTGTGCTTGACAGTGCGATGAAAAAAGAAACTGAGAATCGACCCGATTTTGACGTTTCTTATATCCGGGCCTATTCTGTAATGTGGAGACAGTACCAGCATCAACAACGAGCACCACCCTTTCAACAAAAATATAATATGACAATACAAGTGCTCCGATTCGGTATGAACTTCCCCGGTGTGGCCGGGCCTGGATGATACGTCTAACAATTCACTGAAAAGTGTGTAGACTACTTGTAGCGCCACAATAGATGGACCTGGGACACACTCCTTCACCATAATTCTGGTGCTTCTTGAGTTTCAATGATGGTTACGACCCATCGATCAGGGGGGGTGCCCAGCACAACAGAGTTGAACACAATTGAGTGTAGCCCGTGCTCTGATGGAAGTGTCGGTTCTAAGTGAATGTATTGAGCTATATTTTCACGTAGAACTTCGTCGCAACCTCCCTGTGATTACGAAAGCAACAGCTGCGGCGGCTGCGACGCCGGCAACATAGTACCTATGGTTGGCGCGAGTGAATAGCCACTGAACACCGATGGTATCCATTCCGACAGCAGCGCTTCAGGACTGCTCAACCCAAAAGCGTCGGCCGATGATCTTTTCAGGTTGTTGCTGGAGCATTGCATACGCGCATACCAGACTTGACATTGGCGTGGTCTGCTGTCGTGCGCGCGAAAATTGGCGCGCAACGGGAGATCTTGGCGGAGACAACACGCGGACATGAGCGACAAGTATCCAGGGTATGAGTTTTGGGTGAGAACATCGCTCGGTCATACTGTGCCCCTCGCATGCGACGTTCGATATGTCTACATGTTGGGCTTCTTATCTGGAGCGCGTGTCTTCCACCCTCACACAGTACTTTAATTCTGCAACCAAAGAGAGGAATCAGAGAGAAAAGCGTCAAGAGAGCACCATCTACGCTTGCAGTAGGTAGAACATGAGCTCCCCTCGTTCAACCAGAACGTGCTCCGATGGACTTTACGATTTCAATCTCTCGATAATGTGTTGCCGTTCACGGGGGGATATTTTGATCTCCTCCGGTAGTTCGCAACGCTGCATCCGAGAACGACCCGGACCCCCCCCCCCTGCCCGCCCTTCATACCCGTGAAGAAAATGAAGAACGCATGACAAGTCGCATTCGAGCAGACATCAACGGGAATCGGGACTTGCAGCACGAGCTTTCGCCCCTTGACCAGCAATATGGGACGAAGGTGAAGGAAGTCATTGCCGAGGCCCTGAAGTCCAAGGACGTCGGGGACGGGTGCAACGTACTCATGCATGCCGCAATGCTGGGCCGTGATTGCTCCTTTTAAGTCGGCCGTCGTAGTCATCAAGCCAAGGGTGAGTGAGCCTCGTACGAATAGTCCAAACTCCGTTGGGGGCTGGGGAAGTAATGGGGTAGGAACTATGTACAGTAGATGCTAACCTAGCAAAAGTGGAGTCCGGTGTTACTTTCGACTCCCCGCGATTCTTATCTTCATTTTCTGCCGCCAAAATCTGTCCGACATATTTTCATAAGTCAGCCATACCCGTTGTACTTCTGCATGTTTGGAACCCATCCCTGCAGCTGGGACGTGGCGGATTGGTCACGCAACTCCGTGAGTCAGACATCAACGGGGCCCCGCTTGCGTTCCAGGCAGCAGGAGGAGTAAGCGCCGCGTGCTTCGAGAGCGTGTCCAAAGTCATGCACAAGACCCTGGGGAGAAACGAGCTGAGACAGCAGGTTCAGGTTAGTTACATAGTTGAAAGTTTTTCGAACCCCCCCGTTGATCACCGTCACTCGTACCTTATGACAAAAGCCAGTTTGGAAGGTCGGTTAGGCCCTGGAAGTTCTCGGAGGAAACTCACCGTTAGCCCCCCTCACACTCCTTCTTCACAACCCGACTGTTGGAACATCCCAGGCCGTTGATCTGAAGGAAAGGTCGATAATCTTCCACGCGCCCAAGAGCCAGGCAGCGAACGTATTCCAAGCGGTGATTCGAGCCTTCGATGGCGACGGAGGTGGGTGCCCTCGAAATACGGACACCGGGGATCAAACGGAGGATCCTCGCAAGTCGTGGCTCCTCGCCGACGACCTTCCGGAATCCCCGGCACCTGAGCATAAGAAGAGACAGGCCATTCGGAGCATTTGCGGTCGGAACGTGTTTGTTGATTATACAGGCATGACCGCCCTGCATGTGACCTGTCCCTGGGGTTGCCCCGACATTGTGGAGATGATATTGAAGGAGGCGTCGAAACAGGGGCAGGATTCCGTGCAAGACTTCCTCCGCATTGTGGATAACTCCGGCAGGACTGCCTTAATGCACGCTGTGCGACACGATCATGGGATTTACGCCCGTGAACTCGACAGTGTTTGCCTCATTCTCGGCGCTCTGGTAGACCGGGCCAACAACACGGCGTATCCCGAGAAGTTGGGGTTGTTTACTCAACCCGCTAGCCCCAAGTTTGACTCTTCGGCGCTAATGTACGCTGCATACGGAGGGCCGAAAAGGCTTGAGGTTCTCCAGGACTACATATGCTCCCTCGTCCAGAATGTACAACACGATCCGGCCACTAACCCATGCCACGCCGGCTTGCATCTCGAGTTTGCGCTTGGAATCGAGCACGAGAGCCCCGAAAAAAACTTGATCGATATGGAATCTTGCTGGCGTCCGCAGCGAGTGGTGGCCATTCCTGCGTGCTGGAAGACATTGTTGATGCAATCAAGCTGCGTTCGTTGTGCAGTCCGTGTTGACCATCGGGCCAGCCTGGAACGTGCTAAAGAACGCTAGAGGGGTTTGGGTCCATTCGGTTTGTTGTGTTTCCAAGGCATCAAATGGAGTTCGAGGCATCACGTAGCAGCTTAACAGGAGAGGAATGTAACACCGTTGCCGTCTCTCCGATTCTTGCGCGTGTATGCTCTCTGCAACTGCGCAATCCCATTGCCCCTAGACCGGCGTATTGCGACGTCATGGCGGCGACTACGATGTCCTGCGCCGAACCAACAGCGAGCAGAATAACTTGGTGAAGAACGTAATTGGGGCGGTCAACATGAGCGGTGGCACACTCTTGACGGTGGCGACGTCTTCTTGGAGTGGAAAAGCGGTGAAGCGGGCCATCGAGCTCATCAAAATCCATCCGTTATCACAGGCGCTGAATTGATTCAGGCTTCCTGTCTGATCTTGCCGCGAAACACGATAATAGGGTGGCCGTTCTATCTACAGGCGCCCTGCTATGCTTGCTGTTGGGTTTAGTCTAACTCCATGGCCACGACTCATTCGCGGGTCTTGCTCCGCAACTTCGGCGCTTCTTGCGCCCAACGCATTTGATCTCCCTATCGCTCTCAGTACTGTCCGCATTCTTCTCTTGATGCGTTTCTTCTGCCCGGATGACTTCCGGGCACGATAGGTGTGGAAATCCCTCCGTGGACGGGAAGGCGAAATGTCAAACCTGGCCTTTGCCTTGCCGGTGTCCGACTCAACAACCGAGCAAGGCAGCGCGAAGGAAATGTTCGACGTGGTATACGGAGCTCGTCGAGATGTGAGGTCCAAGAATAGATTCTGACCATGCCCGTGCCACACGAGGAAGGGCATTATGTTTCGACTCACTCCGCATGTAAATGTCTTGACGCCCCCTCCACACCTACATGCATGTGTGTACGGGTTCCCCCTTTTCCTGCCTGCGCAGGCCGCGCAAGAAGCCTATCCGAATCAGTTTACGGATCATCCACGTGGACTGTTTATCCCGAATACAGATCAGGTGTCGTCTACGTGGAGCATGCTAATGCCGCTTTCGCGGGCTATGCTAACCGGCAACCACGTTCTGTTCGAAGCACCTACATCAAACTGTGTACGGAGAGCGACAAGCCGTCTTGGACCAAGCGCGAGGTTCGTGGTATTCGTCCCACTTGCATGTTGAGGATTGCGTGATACCTCATCGAGATGCTACTTGATTAGTTTTCGGAGAACACACGGAAACCGCTGGATGACCGTTGTTTCGGTGCAACTCCCTTCCGTGTTTCTCGGCCGCTGGTATCTTGATATTGATAACCCTGTTCAGACCAATAGTCTAGGGTCGCCTCGAACATGCTGCCAGGTTTTGAACCAAATTCCCACGAGGATAAGTTTCGGGCCGGATGGTACGGACAAGCAGCATTCTAAGGTTTTTGGCAGCGCTGTCCGCGACACCGGCATATCACCGACCATGCTGTTTGCGACCTTTGAGGTACGAGCAGGGCCTTGCTCATGCGCTGCCTTTTTGTACGGCCAGGTTCCGCACAAAGTGAGTGGTAGCTGTTTTCCTTGGAAGTTCGTCCTGTACTTTTGGAACGACGAGGGTGTAGCGTTGCCGACCAGATAAAACGGGAACATTCTCGCTTGATGAAAAAGCCAGGAGGGGACAGCAGGGGTAACCATCTTAGTACTTTGCGGAAGCACACTCGAAGAGTTCCACATTCGACGCCTACTGAAACACGGGGTTGGTTGACGGCCGTTGGGTACATGTAGGCTGGCGCGGTCGGATGGCTGAATCGACAGGTGTGGTACAACTATTTCGTTCCGTCCCGTTTCTTTTTGTGCATCTTAGTCGATCGGAAAGGCGACGCCCGCAGTGGATAAAGCTGGAAAGAAGAGAGAAACATTCCTGTCGTCCAAGACAATGCAGAGACTTGTACAGGCCGCCGCCGAGCTTGGCACCTTCGACCTGTTCAGGAATGGGAGAGTCTTGTCCATCCAAGCACTAAACTATACCGGTACGTGTTTGTGCTACTTTATGTGGCTTGCCCTCTCCCTGGAAACCTCAATCTTTGAACCATGTGTTGACGTGTTTGCTCTCCGTTGGCGACTTTGCCGCCGAGAAACACATTCACCACCAGCAGTGTCAGCTTTCGAATGAACACAGTGTGGCAACAGCTCCTCTATATTTTTTTGGGCTGTCTGTTTGCTTGCCATTTGTTTTGCACACTTTGCAGGCACCGTCCACCGTGTCGCCGCTGTCACGCGATGCGTTCTTTTTTCCAAACGGCATGCCTCGTACTTAGCGATTCTCTGGAGGCGTGACAACAACCGTTGTCTTCACACCTGTTTCCAGCTGCTTCTACGTCATAATCTTGATAAGTATGGAACATTCCCTCGGCTTTCGGTAAGTTTCCTTCACGTCGATCTCGTCCTCATCCCGAGAATCATCAAGGTCCGTGCACGTTTGATTGAACGCGCTTCCCTGTCATCACGAAGACAAATGCACGAACTCGATAACGCGCACATTGGCCCGCCACATCTCTACGGACTCCATCCCCAACGTACCACATAGTTTCCGCACAGAACGATGCGGAAACATGCATAGATGCCGTTGATCAGCCCCACACGAGCTTAGCGATACATCTCCAGCCTATGAAGACCACATTGTCAGCGAAGCACAATTTTTTTAGTCGCCGCTTTCTATTCCGTGCCACCACCTCCAGTGTCTACGCGAAGAACATGGTTTGTGTCAAGTGGGCATCTCGACTGTCTCGTGCCTCTTGTGTACTTTCGTTCTGCAGGGGATCTCGCGACGTGCAACGTATTTAAAGATGCCTTGCGAAACTCCTGCCGTACTATTGTACATCAAAGATCGAATTTGAAGGAATCTCGTTGTTTCGTTGTTCACACGGTCTCCGCTCAAGCCTTCAACGTCGCAACGACGTTTCAGTGTCACCGCCCATTCTCAAGCTTTACCCACGTCAGGTTCTCAGGTTAGGAACACGTTATTTTCTTTGTCAGGGTATGCCTACAGGTATTTTTGCGAAAGGAATCCAAAGCGTTGACTCGAGCCACTTAGATTTGTGCCTGCTCCGTCTCCGCTTTGTAGGGATGCGAGGTCAAATGAAGCTCTTTTCTTTCAACTCTACAGAGTACACAATTTTGCCCAATAATTAACGGTTGCCCGCTCCTTCTGGTGGCCCACCACACTCCTCCTCCATCGGAAAAGGCTCTGCCGATTCATGTGCCCACTCTCTATGTAGTCTATGTATATGCATACTGCTGTATAACCTTAACCTTTGAGGCCGAGGCTGTCACCAAATACTGGGTTGCGGTGTAGACTTGACCGAATCGTGGTATACTAACAGAGAACTGCTGTAGTGTTCCAATACCTTTGTGCACGCCCTGACGAAGTAGACCGGGAACAACTGCAACTCCAATTCCTCGGCCTTCTCGGTGTTTTCCGAGTTCATGGCGGTGGGCATCATCCGTAGTCGAACGCCCATGGACTACTTGTACATTCAAACACAGAATACAATCAATGCGGAGGAGGTGAGAGAGCCAGCGTGGTGACGTGTGCGTCCACAGGACGGTATTCCGCAGCCCCCCAGCTCCTCCGAGCCACCGGACCCCCGTCAAAAGTGTGTTGGTGTGATCCAGCGTATCATGTGTGGGAGAGAGTTATACAGGAGCCATGCTTGTGCGATGTGTTCGAGCTATTCGACCTGGTGGGGTGCTCTACAGAGCTTTCGCTACGGTGCGATACCGCCAGAGGGGAGATCCTGCGGATGTTTTGAGGCAAGTCGTAGGGTAGACTACACAACAGCAGTTTCCTATTCCCGTCAAGTATGGATTCCACCTACCACAACATGCACAGGAATAGAGACGAAAATGCTTGCTGCACTTTCAAGAGAGCTCACCTTCAGCGATTCATTCGTGGTGAGCACCTGGTATGTAATGTCTTCGACGGTTCGCTGGTTGTAGAAGAAGAGGACGTAGCGTATCGGAAGTGCGGGGCGACTTGCAGGCTCCAACCCAATTCTGTTTTTGGTACAGAGACCGCGCGAAGGAGCACCTTCATAGACTTACAGTCCAGAGTACCAGCCTGGCCTGCTGCTGGCCCAATTATATTCTCTTGGGGCAATAGACAGCATCTTTGGACTGGAGAAGTTTTCAGAAATACTGCACTGCTGTATGCGTTATCGGATTTAGAAAAAAAAACAGTGGACGATTCTGACAGTCCCGCCTTGTTCCCCAGAAATACTGTAGGGCCCAGATTCAGAAGATTTTGGTTTTATGAATGCCAGGAAAGAGTAACATTTCCGAAGGAAAATATGTACCTCCGGCACATTCGGCCGCCGCAGGCGCCCTTTGCCCCCCTGGCCGACGGAGGGAAAATTGATGGGATAAACGGTAGTGCTTCATTGGCGTACTGACAGGCATTATTTTCGGGGCAGCGCCGACAGCGTCGACAATTTAGGGATCCCTGTTCTGAAGGTCTTTGCTTCTGAAAGAATCTTGCTCTCAGGATACTTCAGAAGGACCTCCTGTACCACCAGGCAGAGGCGCTGAACCCACCCTAGACAAAACCTAGCCACAAGCACATGAAAGGCACGTCTTGCACCACCACACTGCTGCTGCCGTAGATGGGCAGGTAGGCAGGCGCACAATGGCCACACAGAAACACCGTTGCCGTCGCGGTGTCATGCTTCTGCCATAAGGGACTATGACCTCGTGGCCATGCTTCGGATGCTTGTGTTTGGGGTACTAGACCGAAATCATTCCAAGCTCTCCGCCCTCGATCAGGTTTCGCCCCACCAGCAGCAAAGAAAGACAAGACACATGTTTGGCTCGAGATGGCACCCGGGCACATTGGTTGTCTGTGGTGTCCACAGCATCGAATTTTTTTGTTCATAACGTCTGTTTTCGTGGAGATACCAGGGGCGATATCTGCGAAAGACCAAAACAAACAGTCGCCTCTTCAAGACAGCAGTATATGAGGCTATCGGCGTCCAGGACTTGTCGGAGGAACGCTTGTTGAACTCCGTTATTCTTGTTTTTTTTTCTGATGAGTCAAGGTCCAGTCTGGCCCTATGTATTGTTCGTATGCGGATGTTCGAAGCTAACCAGAGACTAGAACGATTGTTGAGGTACATCGTGCAGTACCTGCTAATTTTTGGTTAAACGGACCCATTGTTTCGGATCGTGAGTGATGTTGGTCTTCATCTCACCTACCAATCTCTGAAAGACAACGACGATCTCTGTCGAATGTTTTGTACGGCACTCGAGATACAGCACTCGCCACCCAAAACTGAAAAATGTATTGTTGGGGTTGGAAATGGCTTGAGGCAGGCTGGAAGCCGACGATGACGTCAGCGAGTTGGGCCCGAGAGAAGTGGCCGTGAAGATGCTGTTCGCTCCCATCAATCCTTCGGACATCAATCAGGTGATGCAAGCAACATTTTTGTAGCCGGGTGCATTCAGCTATGTAGCGCCCGCACCTAAGAACCCCTAGCTTTGACCGAGCCTTGGGTTCTTCGTTCCTAAGTTGTGCTACGAATGGCCGCGATATAGGTTTTTGTGTAGGGATTGTTGACCGAGCTCACGGTTGGTGCTCAAGTTCTCATATGTTGGTTTTTCGAGGCTATTCATTTCTTGACTAACAAGTTCTTAGTGTGGGCGCCAACTGTAGCATATGGCACAGTGGATGATGCGCAGCGGGCTCGACAACCTACCGCAACGAGCATGCCACCAACCATAGCAGCGGAACTGCAACATCCGAGCGCCAACAGTTGACGACAACCGCAACAACAGGTGGAGGGATCGTACGGCGTCTTGCCGCCCCTGCCCGCGGTGGGTGGCAACGAGGGCGTTGGAGAGGTCACAGCGGTAGGGTCGGATGTGACCCGGCTGGCGGTCGGGGACTGGGCGGTGCCTATGCCGGCGGCCGGCTTCGGGACTTGGAGGAACGTCGGCAAAGCCGATGTTGTGAGTATAAAAATCAACCCATTTGTTCTTGGGACCTTGGCGCGCCAAGGTTGTGTTGTGACCGACCTTGTTGGACAACAGCTGCTCGGTGTAGTCGTCTGAAGCCATTGTTACTCGTCCTCCTTCTACCGTACTGTAGACGTATTGATGGATACCCGACTTTTGGGTTTTGGGGTGCTCATTTGTTGAACGGGAATCAAGACGTCGGATTTCATCTCGACAAGGGCCACGTAAGTAGCCGGGTACGGTTGCCGCTGCAATAATCGCAGCCCTGCAGAATTCGCTGACCCACATGACATGTGCGAATTATGCTTCCTCTGCCTGGCGAAGCAATAGTTGGAGTTAAGGTTTGCCCCGTTTCTTTTCGGGACAAGCGCCGTACGATCAGACTTCTAGTTGATAGGCATCAACCAGCGGTTGAGTTCGCATGACACATTACATGAGAGTTCTTTGTCCATAGCTGCATACATGTTAATGTGTTGTGGTGTGCGATCGACACTGGCTAGGTTGTTGAGGACTCGGTAGAGGTTGCGAACCTGACAAGATAGATCGTTTCACACGAAGGAATACCTCCTTGCGCGGTGCTACCCTCTCCCCCCCGTGTACGTGAAGAGGACCAAGACGACCCTACCACGACAGCAATGCTATGTAACTCCCACTGCTGCATAGGGGCTATAGAGAATATTCACCCTCCCGCCTCACTCGAGAGGTGCAGAATCGTTGGTCCGCACTTCAAGCAGAAATCGTCGTCGATCGCCGATTCACGCCGTTCGCCGTCCCAATTGCCTGCCTTCGACTCGGTCCTGCCCCGCAGTCAATGCTGCAGAAGTGCCCTTCAGACATTCCGGCCGAATACGCGGCAACTATCGGCGTCAACCCCTGTACCGCGTACCGCCTTCTACGTGACTTCGAGACCCTCCGGGAGGGCGACACCGTCATCCAGAACGGGGCGAACAGCCAGGTTGGTTGGTTCTGGGACCATAATACGACACGGTGCAATGCTTCCCCTTGGCTCTTATCGCACGCCACCGCCGTCCTTAGCTATCATGAAAGTTATTTTTACTTTTTTGCTTTCTTGAGGGGGGTGCCCGCCTGATGCGATGAGACTGCGGAGAGGGGTTCCAATGTCATCAAATACCGTATCGAGAACATGTCTGGACATGTTCCCAAAGAGGCGCGGTTGGCTCTCGGATACCCCCTGCCCCCGTGTCCTTCGAGACCATCGGATGGGGATTATCAAGCAGAACCTTGAGGCGGCTGTGGTAGGTGATGGTCACAGCAGAGACAACAGCCGCCTTGGTGTTGGGGCTCGTTCGCACCCACTAGGCGAAGCGCACCTTCTTCTTTTTCACCTTTCAAGGTCTTATTGCCAAGAACGCATCTCACGGCCCTTCTCCGCCAGCAGAGTGTCTGCCCTCCCACGATGCGACGAGTTTATTATGGTGGGATCGCCTTGGTTGGGGAGAGTATTGGCGTTCCCCGGCCTTGGTGTTACTTCAAAAAACGCGCCCAAATCCTCCGTGGAGTACGTGTCTCCGTGCTTTTTTGTCTGCAACACTGACTGCCGTGATCACTTCCATGGTGTGCGTGGCCTGCGGTATGTTCATCTACCGGGGTATGGTCACCGACAACGTCACAATAGTTACGCACCGCCGATTTTCTTCGTCAGCTCAAACGGAAAGATTTTGATTTGTTTTATGCCGCAGCGTGGGCGTTGAGTGTCGCCGAGCAGTGGTGTGTCACAAGAACGTAGTTCACACCCTCCCGTAGCACCCCAGTGGCAGCAGCTCTCCGTCTTCGTGCGGAAGCTTCCCCGCTGCGTCGCGTAGCACGCTTGATGGTTCTCTCCAAAAACACTCATGTCCTATTTCAAGTAACCTTCTCGATTCCCTCAAACCCTCGCTCCCGTTCGATCTTCTCAACTTTGTCAATGATACCGAAACAAATCAAAAAGGTTGGCGTGGCTGTGATCCAGATGGCGAGAGATATGGGCGTGCGGACCATCAACGTCGTCAGGGAGCGGTGAGCTTTGGCCCTCGGTCATGTTGAATCGATGCCATTGCTTTGGTGGCAGCGTAGTACCAACTTCCCTGCCATGCTCTGCCCTGTCCTACACGATTTTTACTTGCATTTCCTGGGTGTGTGCCTACCCTTGCTTAGTTGTTGGCTGCCTCTGTCTATCCTCTTTGTACCGCCTTGAGCGTTTTTTTTCTTTCGTTGTCAGCTGTGCTACTGAAACGACTTCTGTACTGACCAGCCTATCCGATCACAGAGCCAGTGTTTCTTCGCGCAAACCACCAGAATGACACTCATTTTCTTGGTCGCCTTGGCCAGTTGTTTCGGTCCTGTCCACTCGCCTCACACACCCCTCCCGCTTCTCCCAATACACATGCTACAGCGGTAGAGGCCCTTGCTCACACCCGATGCACAACCTCCACAACCGCTGCCGCCCCTGCTGCAGACCACCCGGCGACAACACCGTAGAGCTTCTCAAGTCCCTCGGGGCCGACGTCGTCGTTACCCCGGCCGTTCTGGGGGTCCCCGACGACTACGCCGAGGCCGTGGCCGGCCTCCCGCCGCCTAGGCTGGGGCTCAACTGCGTTGGGGGTTCCATCGCGACCTCGGTGAGTCATTCCTCACCTGAGAGATGCGTGTTTGTTGTTTTCACACTGTTTTTTGTTGGCATTCTCTCTGGGAGGACCCCTTCTTGTCGCTTGGCTCGTTTTTCTGTTTTGAATATTTCGGCAAGCCTCGGAATTGTTGCAGCAGCGAGGAATTCATCGAAACGCTCGTATAGTTTGTCTTCTGCGCGCGTCAATTTCGTCCGGCACGGTTGTGAGACGAGCATGCTCGAAGAGGACGTCCTGCGTGTAGCTGAACCGATTGGTGCGTGGCTCTTTTTGCTGGTGCTAGTCGGGTTCGGTTACGGCGGAGCAATCCAGTATGGATGGGAATCTTACGCATGGGGGGCCTCCGCTCCAATCCGACCGTGCGTAGGGGGCTCGTTCGGTGCTGGCTCAGGGGTTGCGTGAAGCTTGATCAAAACCATGACCCGCTTTTTACGCTGACACACACCTCACCCACTGCACCCATCGCACAGGTGGCGAAACAGTTGGATGACAGCGGAGCTTTGATTTCGTACGGAGGCATGTCTCTTCGGCCGATCACGCTTCCTGCGACCATTTTGCAGGTGCGATGCTCCTCTCCCTTCATGCGATGCTTCGTTTTGACTCAAGTGACCACCCTAGGGCCAGAGGAAAAACGATTCTCCCCGTAGACCATGAAGATCACAAGCCATTAAAACCCTAGCCTCTGCGCTGGTCGAAACATGGCACGCCAAGCCAACGTTGGTCTAGCCATGATCACGCTGCGAGCACAGCCGAAGGTAGCGGCTGACCAAGTTTTGGTGCGGTCGAGAATAGTGGTGTCCTATCATTGTGCCTTTCGCGGCGTCGCCTGAGTTTTGTTCCGACGAGAAGAATATGGCGCCGGTAGCCCATGGTGCTCCCAGGCCGTGTTTCCAGAGATTGTTGTTGCAGCACGTCGTGCAGGATACAATGTGCATAGCTTTGGATTGTGCTGCTGTACCACCCTGAAGCATGAACCCACACAGCTTGCTCGTCGCCGCTTTGCACACACCTGCTTCAGGATAAAGGGGTGCGGTGCGATGGGTTCTGGATAACGAGGTGGACCCAGGATCGCCCAAGAGAGGAGCGGGAGGCAATGATCGGTATGTCTGTGTCAGTGTCGAAAGCGTGTGCGGTTTCGAACACATTCGGCAGCAGGTTACAACGACCTTTTTTTTCAACCACGACCACTCGGCCCTTGCTCCTATTCTCGGAACATCGTTTCACTCGCTTTCGTCCTCGTCTGGCCCCTTCGCCTGCTGTGGTCCAGCTGACGTGGCCAAAATGATCAAATCTGGAAGACTGCGCTCCTTCCTGGAGCGCCATCGGTTCACACAATTTTCGCAGGCTATGAAGGAGGCAAGGAAACCGTATCGCAGTCGAAAGGTGAGAAATCTGTTTTTCCCCAACGGTGTGTCTTCGAAGTCGTTCCGTGTGAATACTTTTTCATTAAGGGTGAACTCTCGGGACCAAAATTTATCACCGACGCAGCTGCTGCTGGTCTTGTTGTTTCTCAGCCGTTCCATATGTTTTGGCCGCTCGCGCCTTGTTCTACGTACCAGTTTCGCATTCCTCAACTTAAGAGTTCCAAATCCGGGCTCGCACGTACTATGTTTTCAGCGGTAATTGCTGACAAATGGTTGCTTCCCGCCAAGTGCACTCGCGAACTCGCTATCAGCAGCACTGTACAGCAGGGAGTCACACGTTGCCGGGAAACAAACGCACAACCTTCATTCGTTGTTGTCGAAGTATCTGCCGATGGCTGCCGACTGAACAACCGGCGCGGCCGGTGTGTATCAGACTCACTCACATGTTTCCGACCGTGTTTCCGACCATCGTTCTACCTCCGGTTCTTGGTGAGTGTTTCCGCGTCCCTCTGCGGCGGTGAATCTCGACCAGCGCCATCCCAGTCCAATCACCAGATTCCTTTGTGCCCATGTATAGCACCAACTTAATTTTTTTGTATGCAACTCTCATCTTTGCACCCTGCGTCTTTCCTCCACCCGCTGATTTTTCCGGTCGATTCCTTCAAAGGTGTTGTTGGATATGTCGCGATGACAGTGCCGAGCCAAGCGCAATAGCTGGCCCTAGGAAAGTTCCGAGAATGGCCGACGGAGAAAGGCCGGCCGGCTACATTTATGTGGGCGTACTGTAGCTCCGGTATGTCATGCTGGGGCAAGGGTGTCGGCGGCGTTAGTTGTGAACGTCATCCTAGGAGACGCAGTGCGGCGGGATCGGGAGGAAGGAGCACCAACCCTAGAGGCACTTAGATCCTGGAACGTTCATCGCTGTAACCCACCACACAAACGTTTGTTGCGATTCTATGTAGACCGAATTCAGTTAGACCGCCTCCTTCTCTGTGTGTACACTTGCCACGTGCAAGACGTTTCTACTGGGCTGTTGGAGTTTTGTAATCGTATTGTGGTGACGGTGATGATAGATGGGCGCGGATACGTTTTGCAACATGAATCTGGGTTCGTTCGCTCGTCGACAAGTTCAGATATGTGACGGTTGACCATAAAAATTAATCGTTATTCGTGAGGGACGTGTTGCGTTGATTTTGGATGAGGTTTGCTTCTTCGCGTGAGAGTTCGTGCTTTACCGTTACCACACGGAAGCCCTTGCGCGAGTTGTGCTGGTGTCCTGTGTAGTCATTTCCCTCCAACGATATCTCTGAGGAAAACGGTAACGCGCCAGAGAAATATTCTGAAACATCTACGAGGTCCCCGGGACGTTGGTATCGGGCCAGGGGTGACGCAAGATGACATGATGGGGTTACGTAAAATGATAAGCGTGTTCTGCAGTAGGAAGACACGTTCGAAACGAGCCTGCGGGCTTTCGTGGCCAGTTCTCTTGTTTCTAGTTTTTTGGGAACCAGCACACGTGGTAGCTCTACAAAAGGGTTCAGGATTCGTTCGCCGGGCTTTCTTTTGGCGAACACACAGCCAGAATATTGAACCAGTCCCCGCACCTTTCGGCGTCTTGCTCACGAGCCATGGGTAGCTAGCTGCCTGGAGAGCTCCGGGCAGCCCGATAAGACACCGGCAAGCCTCCTGCGCGCCCCTCAGAGGAATCGTGAAGAAAGGGTAACGGCGTCACGGCCACCGAAGGCTCTACATAGGATCGGAAAACGATGGCATCGGAATGTGCATGTTACCATTGAGAACAACATCGATCCTGAGCAAGTCTCAAGACCTGATGACGGTGTCTCAACGTCAACGATTGTTCCCACACACGTATATTAACTGTATACAGTGCCGACGCCTGTGCTCAATTTATCACGACATTCATTTTTAAGTGCAAGGAAGGCTACAGCAGGTGTTCCAGCTGACACTTTCGCGTTAGATTCTCAGTCGAATGAGACTGAACTACAGTGTACTGCTGTGGTAGTACAATAATAATCAAGAATTTTGCTGGTGGTCAGCAATTAATTCTGCTATCCTCGCTGTGTACCAGGTACGCAATAACCTGCGAAGTCTCCCACACACTGCTGTGTAGGAGACTTTGCAGATTATTGGTGTATCTCTTGAATCTTGAACGCTCTGCACTCTGCACCCAACCGCGGGCCTTGCGAGCGAGGGAGAGAGACACCCTGGTGGCGCTTGTGGCGCTGGTTGGCTGGTCGTCGTAGATCGGGAACATCTTCGGAGATCTCTTGCCGGGACTGTAAGGATGCCGCAGCGCCGAGCACAGACGCACAGACCTGCATCTGATCCCGCACACCACTCCTCTCCCTCTCTTGTTGCCAGTGCCGTTTTCCTCTCTGAACAGAGAGCATGGCAGCCCCACAAGAAAACGGCGGATATTCCGTCTTCAGCCGCCTCCAAGGACATAAAGGCCAAGTGCTTTGCATCGCTGCCCCAGCGGCGAAGGTGACAAGCGAGTCCTCACTGGTTGTCGGCGTGCTCATTAGACTATATGGTTTGATAGATCCCTCTTGCGCTATGCGGTATGTCGTTCCTGTGTTGGAAGGAACGGGGGAAGGCGGGTACGCCATGCAGGGCCACACCTGGAAGATACAGAAGGGATGCGTTCCTTGTCTTGCAGCACCCTTGCAGCACCCAGGGATCTACTGCTGCACACTGTTAATAGTGTTAGTATGCATATATATGCGGTGCAATTTCCAAGCTTCCGAGACGGCAGGAACATGCATGTCTACATGTCTACATGTCTACAGTATGTACAGTCTACAGCATCCAGCAACGTTAACCTATTTTTTGAACCGTAGCACCATTTGTGTCCACCGTACCCTGGAAACCAGCTGTGATTTTTTACGTGGCACGTAGCTTATGATGTATATCATACCAACATCAGGAAAGACCTCACCTGCTGTTGTGCTCGTGGTGCGAGCTTCCTCCCCCCCTCTCCTCCTGTTCTCCCCTACTGATTCTCCAGTGCTCTCCTGCTGCTACTGCTTTCATCGCTGCCGGATTCCGCAGGCGGCAGAGGCGTTGGTCGCAACAGGCGCAGAGGACAGCACAGTCCGGCTGTGGGACTTACGAGACGGTGCTACTGCAAGAACTCCCGGGGGATCGGGAACAACGTCTTCGGGAACAACGTCTTCACCGCGAGTGGCAATGTGCCTGTGTCGGTGTTTTGGTGGAGAGGCCGTATCCAGCGTTGTCTTCGGCGCGGACGGCGCACATCACCTGTACTGTTCGGCTGGCGGCAAGGTCTGAGCTTCGCCTTGGACTTGAAGCAGGATGGCGTCTTGCTTGCTCGAACAACTACATCCAGAGGCACGGAAACACCATGGATGCATGCGCCGCTACCGCGATTGATCGGTTTGTCGGGGACAACGAGATTAATTCCTACACGGAGTAAGAATGACCCGCATCGCACCCCAACTTTTAGCGCCGTTCAACGACACCAGCAGTGCCCTTCCCAACTAGTATGTACATGGTTGATCACTCCAGACCTGGAAGTTAGCTGATATTCCGTCATGGCTGCAGGTGCTCGAATTTGATCTTCGGTTATCAGGGGGGAGTCGCGCGCTTCTGATGACAAGCCCCACCGAGGTTTTCGACGATGGCGAGGTGCGCGCAAGAAAGCGTCGACTGCCGTCACAACAACCATTCCGAGACCGTAGTAACCCGAGCGAGGCGAATCGAGAGTTTGCACGCAAGCCTAAGCAGTATTTCTCCGCAATCTAACCAATTTCTTTGATCCATAGAATGTAGAGGAATCACTCTCCATGTACCTGGTATGAACAATCTGAGGCAATGGTGCTCTCAACCTTGTGTTCACTCTCCAAAGCATGTGAACGCCCTACCACTGTAAAGGACACTACCGCACGCGACAGGAGAATCCCGTCAGCATTATCACCCCAGGAACCGGCGCAAACCGCCGTGGGACAATAGTGGAACGAATTGTCTGTACGCCGGAATCGACATGCGTGAGCACTCACGCACTCTTCTTGTATATGGTTCCAGGGAGACATCAGACATTTTTCAGTCCTTCGATCTTCCCATCGTTTTGTATGCTATCAACAGGAAGAAGTGAACGAGTTAGCGGTGCACCCTAAGGGGGACTACTTGGCAGCGGCGGACGATTCCGGGACTGTGAAAGTTTACACAACCAGAACACGCAGGGTGGACAAAACCCTACGGAGCGCCCATACAGTATGTACACCGTGGTTGGCTAGCTGTGATGGTGGTAGCGGGCACTTGGGTGTTGAAATTTGCTATTGATCATCGCCTGTCGTTTTCGGTGCTTTCCAACCAATTTGATACCTTCCTCCAACCGACCCACATTAACAAATAGCTCAATCTGCCTGGAACGCGTTTCGAATGGGCTTCTTCGGAGGGTGCTCTAGCTCGTGAGGACGTCGTAGAATTTCGGGCTCAAAGCCATGTCGCGAGTTGCTGCACGAACCATCCAACCCTTCGCTCGTGATGTTATTTCGACTTTGCCCTCTTTACTGCCGTCGCTATTTCACTTTGCATGCCCGTACCCTACCCTACCAAGAACATTTGTCACGCGGTACGCTTCCGCCCTCGAACGAGTTGGGACATCGCCTCGGGAGCGCTCGACAGCACGCTGGTGTTTTGGTTCGTACACAGTCATGGATAGGTGTTCAGCTGGTATTGCATTAATATAGCCCTATGTGGACGTTTGGCTCGCAGGGTATGGAGGCCCGACAACGAAATACAGTGTCCATTTGAGAGTTGGCACCAGCATGCGACGGTTGTTTGAATGTTTTCGCGCCCACGTGTCTCACACCCATACCAATCGCACGATGGTTCCAACTCACCCATAGTTACGGTATGTCGAAGGCATTGTCCAGCAAAGGTGCTTCCCATCCTCCGTCCTTGGCCCGTGCAGGGATTTCAGCACCGGCAGAGTCCGTCGAAAGCTGAACCTCTCGGAGGGTTCATGTGTTCCTTCTGCTTCTTCTGCTTCCAGCTGCTCGCCGCAACAGGTGCATGTCTACTTCGTTTGAATGTCATCTGTGCGCGTCTGGTAATTTATCTGCGGTGCGTGTGCGCATACCGGGACGGTCCTAGTCTTTCCACGCCGTAATTGTCCCATGTTTCTTACCAAGGTAACCACGCATTATCTCACAAGTATGAAGGACGAGGGCCTTATTCTATCTGTGCATATATACGTAGGCACATCAGCACAACTTTTGCATGCTCGAACGCGCGAAGCGCAGATGTTCTCATTTTCTGCCGCCCGCAGGGCGTGCTCAAACCTTGCTCTCTGTTATTTACCTATATGTCGATGTGTGCGGATATTGAACCCATAGGTTACCCCAGAGATCAGATGACCCTTTCCTCCCCGCACTCCGTTCTCCCCCCCCCTCTATTGGAAACTGCCGTTTTCCAGCTCTTCAACCCCCCTTTTGTCCATTCGGTCGACTTCACCGCGGACGGCTGTTTCCTGGCGGCTGGTCTTGGCGACAGTGGCGTCGTTGTCGTTGACGCAAAAACTCGCGCGCCTGTCGGCCGCTGTGACGGTCATTCCGCCCCAGTATCTCAGGTATTGTGTCCCGGGCCACGGTCCACACCATAGCTTTAGGGCGCAACGGTAGGACACATCAGATTTTTCTTGGTGCCCTGCTTATTAAAGGTACCAGCGCGTGAGCTTCCGCAGGCTGCTGAAACGGCCATTCCTCTTTGGTGCTTGTGGCTGGTTATTTTCTCGTTCATGATGTTGCAACGAGGCAGAGGAGTTGGAATACTCCACCAACACGTGAGCTTCCGCAGGCTGCTGACACGGCAATTTATTTTGGTTCTTGTTGCTGGTTCTTGTCTCGTTCATGATGTTGCAGCGAAACCAAATTGATCGTTCTGTCCGCCAATTGGATCATGTCTGATATGTCTCATCGCATCATGTATGTCTGGTTTAATGTCCGTACAGGTGCATTACCCCAGCTTTGATCCGAAGCTGCTAGTTTCCGCAGGAAACGACCAAAACCTCCTTTTGTGGGACCAACGACAGTTCGAGCATCACAGCGAAGAGTCGAAGGGAAACATCGGCGACGGTGGGGGTGCTGGTGGTGGTGATTCTGGGGTATCAAAATCAAGGAAGTCGAGGCCATCCGGAAAGAAAAAGGGAAGGTCAAAGGGAGTCAACAAACATCAACCGGCCGAGGTCGACGGGGCACAGCGGAGGGACAACGGAAGAGAGGGCTTAAGTGGCGGAAACATAAGGGAGGAGGTGGGGCCCGAAGCGGACGTCGGAAACGTCTCTTCGGAAGCCGGCGAAACCGCCACCGAGGGCCTCCGCGACGGTATTGTCAGATGCTCGGTCCCGCTGCTGTCGGTGCGTCTCGAGGAGAAACCAAACTGGGTCACCAGCTTCACAGTACCGTACGCTGCGATTGCGGTAGCGGACACGAGCTCAGTTGCCAAGATTTTGAGAGCGCACGGCTCGTGAAGGAGAAGCGAGACGAATGATACACTGTTTTTTGTACCTTCGTTGTCCAGGAGACAGCCCGATAGCCTTAGCAATGATTCCATGCGCAAAAGCCGGAAGAACAAGAACAAGCACCGCAGCAGTAGCAGCAGTTTACAGCCATCCCCATGGTATGAATACAACAACCAGCCCTCTACTCCAATAATGCACGACGGCCGCTCTGTTGAATGGAGCGTTGTTCAACGCTATGCTTGTCGCAACAGGGACCTCGTGCTCCTGGAATGGGAGTTCACACACCTCAGAACGGGGTGAGGAAGCTGTCTGATCACCACAAAATCTACAATGGTCTTGCTGCTCGCACAGCCCAAACGAGGACCGTACAGCGCAGAAGCAGACGCAGATACCTGTGGTTGCCGTGGTTTCGAAATGCCGGTCGCTCGACAAACGACCCCTAACACCAGCTCAGCGACACAAGAATCTACTTGCTTTCGTCAATATGTAGCCTATTCACCCATACCTTTGAACAATTCCAACAACAACCACTCCAACTACGCGCCCCCACAGTGGGCAGGTACTGCGATTCCCGCGCGCTGAAGATACCCCGGCAAATACACGCCAAGAACAACTCCGGCAAGCGCTACCGCGACGCTCACGACCCCAATCACGGCCCTTCCGGACGTGGAAGGAGCACCAGTTGCCGTTGCATCCCTCGGTCGCCAGACAAACGCGCACCTTGGAAGGAATTTTCGGGGCGTCGTATGATGATCGATAATAGGGTGTTATATGGTTAAACACGCGGAGACCAGTACTAACAGATCGTTCAAGTCTAAAGCCCTCCCGGGACGTCTGTAAATGAAGCAAAGCGAAGTTTGCCGCTTCGCAACACTCCTCCTCGGCTTCGGCGCTTGAGCAGTGACGAGTGAGAGGCGGAGTATACCTTAAGCAGGCTCAAGGGTTGATAAGCACAACAGGGAGGACAACCCGTTTATTCGGGTCCGGTTAGCCATTACAGACACAGCGTTAGTCAACAAGACGAAACGTCCCCCCCGCGGAAATGTGAATCACCCCGATACACTCACATTGCCATGGCCTGAGCCAGGATGAAGGCGCCGCCGGCCTCCCGGGCAACCTCGCTGCTGAGAAACGTCAAGACAATGCCGTCGTTACCGGTTTCTAGAGGCTCGCCTCGCGGTGCCAAGAAAGCGCTGTGTCCTGCCAGTCCCAGGCACGCCGCCCCGTAAGCCATGGCAGTCATCCTGAGGGGTTCGAAAAAGCTTGAACGGGTTACGAATAATTGCTTTGGTGCGCGTTTGTATTGTTTCACCCCAGCTCCCGTAAAAATACAAAAGCGGCACCCAAAGGTTGATAGAACAATATTCAAAGGGTATGTGGAGATTCAATAGAACTACTTCATCGAGACGGGCAGCTCCTCTGTTTTTGGACAGGAGTTGGGTGTCCGAAATGCCAATCGCAGAATTATGAGCGTTTCCGTGTCATACTCTCCCGCGTGCACATCGGTCTCACAACACAACCACAAGCTACAACAATGGCTCCGCTCCAGGTTAGTCGACCGACCGAGTGTCCAACAATTTGTGCGCTGTTGTGAGTTTTACCGCTCATACTCCCTCTCCAGACCCGTGCAGCGTTGCATCTCCAACAATCTCGAAACATTCCTGCTATATTGGTTCCTCTTTACCCCTCACGTCCTGCAACGGCTGGCTCTACATGTTCTCACCTGCGGGAGTACGAAGCATCGTCCTTCGCGGTCCCTCGTGCTCCCCGCCCAACCGCCCCGGCCGCCTGCAGCGCGGACCAGCCGCAAACCACCGCGCCGAGAGCATAGGCCGTGGACCACAAGATCCAGTCCGGATCATTGAGATTCAGGTAACTGGCCAACAAAAAAAAAGCCCCGAGAGCGATTGGCGCTACAACATCTGAGCCCGCCATCCCTCGGGTGACCGTGCTGCATCCAGGGTAAGCAACGTTCGGCGTTGTATGTCGCGGGGGCAAGGGTTGGTTAGTCTCCTTGTCTGTATGCACCGAAGGGACGAGACAGCATACGCAGGACGAAGGTCGGCGCGTAGGCCGTCTCCCGCTTTGTCTCGTTGCTGTTGTGTTTGAAAAAATGTGTTTTCCTTGACTTTTAGGAAAATTCCACCAAACGTGTTTGAATGCGTTGCTCTCTCTTTTGCTGCGGGTTGTACCCCAAGTCCTTCCAGTATTTTGTAGACACAATCGCAGAAATGTTACGAGTTCGAGGTAATGTCCAAGTCGAACGAAATGTGTTGCTTCCACCTCTTGTTGTTGCTGGTACTGACCAATCCTATGCCCCTCAGACTGCCGTCTGTTGATGCAGGCTGAGCATTTCCTGATCACCTTCAGTGAAGCCTGAGGAGTTTTTCATTTGTGCGCGGCAAGTGGATGAATTTGATGAGGAAGCACCAAGACTTGTGGACGGTGCGCCTTCGCTGTCCCTCATTATAGGTTGGGGGGGTGTTGAAGGGAGGGGGGATATTGGAGTAGACGGTTGGCCGGGAGTTTGGGACGACACTTCTCAAAGGAACGTGGCTGGAGGAAATCAGAGGGCCATTGCTATCGGAGTGGGAAGCGCTCTGGGCACACCAGCTCGGTAGAGACTAGGTCGGAGCTACCAGTGACAGAGCGACAGATGACGATTGGACTATTTTCGTTTTTTCTGCAAGGGCACGACTTCGGCAAATGCAGACTCCGCGGAGTCTGCCTACGGGGACAGGGTGATCGATCGGCGCATCTTCCTCCACGCCGCCTTCGGAGTTTGGCCGGCTATACAAACAGACATGTCGCCGAGGGTTTTTTCTCGAAAGACGGAAACAACTTGTGATGGACTGCGCTTCGCTGTGGGCAGCATCGCTCGGTTGAGTCTATACCCTTCAATGTTTGTTGTGCATTATGGAAAGATATGTGTATTTCGACAAAGTGGGTTCTTGGAGGCAGAATGCGGAAATGTAGACAAGAATGCAGGCGCTGGACGACGTAGACAGGAAAGGAGGGGGCCGGGCGCCCAAGGGCATTTCTGTGTGGCGTTTCCGCATGTATTTGGTGCTGTGCGTGTGCATGTGCGTGTTGCGAGAATAGTTGCGGTACAAAAAAATACCAGCTCTAGCCATTATTGCTTCTGCCGGTACGTTGTGTGCCGCTGAAGGCTGCACTTTGTCGCTGCAGAGACTAATGACGAGGTCATCGACCTGTTATTTCTTCTTCTCACAAACAAATGCCTAAGCGTAGCCGTTTCTAGCTTAATCGCTTCGTGCTGCCAACTAGCGACACGAAAATACCAAGCGACGGGAGTGTTTCATTCTCTCCACAAAAAGAATATCCCAAAAAGAAACTCAAAATGCAATACACAGTCAGCCGATGCGGCAATCGAGCGACAACCCCGTCCTCGCTGTTTTCAGGGCTTGTGCAGGGTACGTAATGAATTTATGAATTTCAATCGCTGCAGGTCAAAATTAGGCACTAACAGCGTTTTTTTTCTGGTGTTCGAATCTGCCGGAGAACGATCGATTCACCACCCCCACAAACCCAACCAAGCAAACGAAACCAAGACAACACAACAGCTCAGCGCTCTTCGGAGTTAGTTTCATCCGAAATCCCTTTGCCCCCTCCCCCCGCCCTCGCCCGTCGCGAGCGCCATGGCGCTGGAGCGCCTCACACGGGAACCGGTTCTGCGAACTGGAACTGTTCCTTTGTTGTGGGCCGCAGCAACAGCGGCCGCGACGCAAGATGATGTTCCCGTCTGGTGTGTTCCTGTCTGGTTCCGTGTAGCCCTCTTCTACCCTGTCCTTTTTCTTCCTTTCCGCACTTCCTTGTTACAAGCTCCGCTCGGGCCACCACCACCGTCCTTTCCCCCCTCATTGTCAGACGTGGCCGCTCCTCGGCCACGCTTTCGCTTTGACCGTTTCGCCATGATGGCGTCCAGCCGGTTGGTGCCGAGAGTGGTTTTGACCGTGTCACCATCAATGGTCATGTTGAGATCCTCTTTCATTCGCACGCCGAGGGAGTGCTCCATGATGGATGATACCATTGAACCAATCGAGTCGAGGGGGGTACCAAGTTGCAACAACTTCTCATCCCCGCCGCCGTCTCGCCGAAAGATCCATTTGGCGGAGTGTGCGCAAGACGATTTTTTAACTTGCTCGTCGAAGTCAGCATCTTCCCCGTCGGCCTCACCGTCGCCGGCATCGCAGAGGCGGCGCAACATGCGATTCTTCATTATTTGCTTGCTGATGTCAGCATCTTTCCCGTCGGCTTCATCACCTCCAACGCCGGCACCACCACACACCCAGCGGTGGGACCTGACTTCCCCCCTGATCCCGCTCCATCTCCATCTCCGCGACCTTTCCCTTCTGTTTCGACAACGCAGCGGCTCGCTGGTGTCGTGTGGCCTGTGTAATGAAGCAGCGAAGCAGCGGCAGAGGCGAGAGAGAGAAGCATATCGTTCTGTATCTGACTCTCGAATGTTTTCACGACCAATCCACACACTCCAAAACGAATGAAGCACCGTCTGGGTCAAATGCTGCAGGAACCAAGCACCAGAAAAGCATTTCAGCAGTAGTGAAGGGAACTGGCAAGAGTGAGGCAGGGACCAGTCAGAAGAAGGAGCGACACACACCAGATAAAGAGGGAGGAGAACATATCCGGTAAAAATAACACACATACCTTCTCTTTGTCGGAAGCGTCCGCGTTCACGAAATCTTGCGTGGTTTTTCTGCCGCCTAGCGACTCTTCTTCATCGCTTTTAGAGGGTCCTTGAGTCCTTCGCGGTTCTTCTTCAGCCTCGATCCTTGCGATGCGCCCTTCTCGCGCTTGAGCTCGGTCACCAACTCCGAGGTAGCTTTTCTTTGCTCTCTCCCGCTGAACTATTGCTCTTATCACCCTGCTGAATCGCCATCTCGAGGAACCTCTCCACCGCAGCACGCTCAGCTTTCTCCAAAGCTCGCTATATGATAGAGGCTGTAGATGCGTCCGCCACGCTCTGTCCGGCTCTTGTCTTTAACTTGGCTTTCCTCTTGGCCAGATTGTGCCCGACGAGTTTGTCGAGCCGTCAAAGGGACGCCGGTTTGTCTTTTGATTGGCAGAAGGACTGGAGTCCATGGCGAGGCGATAAATGAGGTCAAGAGGCGATTTTTGGTGCCCCGATGCTCGACGGCAGCGTTCGCGAAGAGAATGTGTGCTTTTTGTGCCGCCGGAACACCGAGGCAGGTGCACTGGTGTAAGCTCCGATTCTCAAGAGTCGAAGCTACCCCGGTGTCGGAGAAAATACCGAGTCGACGTTGCCGAACTAACAGTTGTTCGGTCACATATAGTGCAGAGAAAAGGAGGAGAGCAGGCAGTACACAACACGTCTTTCCACACATGCATGCATAAGTCAGACGTGAAGATCTACGATGCTCCTGGGTACGAGAGATAAAATTGGACACAAAACACTGTCTAGTAAATGCAAAGTGGTTGTGAAACGGCGTCGTCGGATCGACGGGTTTTCGGGTTTGGCAAGCATTTTCGAACCGACTGGACGCTATGTCGTTCAAGGCCGGACTAGCAGCCTAGCATAGCATTATTGAACCTTATTCGAGCGAAGCGACATTTCTAATCTGGTCTGAGGTCTCGCCGCAAAATAGGGCTCCATCAAGAAAAAAAAGTTCTGCGTGTGTCTGTAACGCTTTATCTAGGTTTTAGAGTGCATCACTTGAATACAAAGGGGGTCAGCACATTTTTTTTTCAGAGCACACAGCAGATTGCAGCTAGCTGCAGAACACACGCACAGGAGCATATGCACAGCAGACAACACACGCACAGCGGGCACGGTGGATAGAACAGCGGTAAAAGCCGCGTTCAGGTCGTTGTTTGTCCAAACCGAGACATTGCATGTTGCCCTCGTCTTCGACTGTTGCTGTTGACGCGCGGGGATTTTTTGTACCACACATGACAAACACGTAAGCAGTAGAATGGACAGCAGCAGCCCCAAGGCCCCCAACGCGCTGATTCATTCGGTTCGGCTGTCTCCCGGCGCTGTGCTGCTTCGTGGGTATTGGGGGTTTGGGTGCTGCTCTAGAAGGTGTGTGAGAGAGGTGTACCCCCTCGCCAAACTGCCGTTTGAAAAAATGCTTTGAGGTGGCCTGTTCTGGGTCAGAGACATCCAGACAAACCCACGGCACCACGCAGCAGTAGATCAATAGGGCATCCGACACGCTAATTCTTTCGGATTGGTCACGCATTTGATACTGACCCTCAGCGGCGCCGCCTCTCTATGATTGTTGAGTTCGTCTACCTTTCGACAGGAAGCGGTGAAAAATGGGGGTCACAGTTTGGGTCACCACGGGAAAAATGAGTGGAAGGACTTGAAGAAATCGCAGGCGACGCCCAGTTTGTGACACTGCTCCCTGCCCCCAGTACTGAAACAGCAGGTCGGGTGGACAGGGTCTTTACAAGTGTGCTGTCCTTTTGTGTCGGTGTTCCTTCTTGTGCTTGTACCACCGCTCTATGGTGAGCAAAGCCAATTTGACCTGTTGTGTGTCAAGCAAGGCGTGCATTCAGCGATAGGAAACGTTTTCTTGCGCCTATTTTTTTTCAACTATCGGGAATTTTTTTTCACCGATTCTTCTATTTGTTTATTAGGGGAGTCGATACGTCGGAATACGCCTCAGTAACACGCACTTCCGCCCGTGGACGCACACGTCTGACGACAGTTACATCGATCAGCTGTCGCTCGTTGTAGCGACAGCTATCGGACACTCGACAATAGAGTAATGGATAACACTCGACAATAGAATAATGGATGATGGATAAGAACGGCAATGAGTTGCCTAATTATCCATTAGCAAGGGGGAACACAGTGACCTGTGTCCCTTGCAAAATATCATTGCTGTAACCAAATTCTTCTAATCTCGGATCACAAATGACGTCATATGACCCAGTGAAGTTTCTTCATAAACTTAGACCAAACGACGTCACATGACCAGGTGAAAATACAACACCTCGATGGCCTCCAAATCTGCAGTTGAGCCCATGGTCGGGAAGCCCCTTTCGCACATTCCCAGTTTGATCCCTACCGCAAGCCTCCCATTGTGTTCGGAGCAGCCGGCATTCGGATCCCTGCCGTGGAACCACATATATAGCCCCTCCGATAGGACTTGAGGCAAGGGGGAAGGCTGTATCGGGTTTCGTGCTAAGGTGTTCTCCCATATTGACCTCGTGGCTGACACACATCGTCTTCGCTGCTGATCGCTGTGCATCCAGGTGGGTAATTTCTACGTGTTGTATCCTTCGCCGTACTCCGTAACATGTCCACACCACTGCCCCACACGGAGAGACCAACTGCTACTCGCTGCTGCTGCTGACCTTCATGACGGATGCTCTACCACGTGATTACGACATGGTTGCCACAAGGTATCTCGACAAACCGCTCTGAGGAACACCAGGGAAGTTGACAACAACCGCCACATTGGATGTATATCATTTGAAAAGTTTCCGTGCTCTACAAAAACGAGTGATGTACTGCTGTAGACTTCGTTCCATCTTCCATGATTTTTACAATATTATTCCAAATATGTAACAAACCAGCAAGCTGTCAATAGACGCTGCGCCGTGTCCCCTGTGAAGGTTACATTTTATAATACACGACACAACGGAGGGATTCTCCCCGACATTTTGTCGTTGACCCAGTAGAGAACTACTGGGGATGTATTGTAAAATGTAAGTTATATACAGATGTTTTTGTACTTAGCACCAGCTGGCATCACTGATATAAATCATCAGTGTATGGACTTAAAAAGACTCGAAATAAGTCCAGTACCCAGCCGGTTTTCCTCCACTCACTGAAAAACTCCACACCCGTTCGACTGTGGGTATATCTCGAATGGGTAGTCTTTCTGTGTCTGTATTTATTATTCCTAAATATTTCGATCAAGAAGTATGTGTTCAGCGAAGACCAGCAGATTTGCAGATGTACATTTATGGATGCATATGTGATTACCAGTTGGTCACATTGGTGGGCTTCCATGTAGTCTCCATGGCGGAAAAAACTCCCCCTGCCCTACTTAATAATTACGGTAAGTACCATCCAGTACACACGAAAGCAGCCGCTATCCACTGCTGTGCACTGGCCTCACATCGACACGCGGCGTTCGGGGGGCTACGGCTAGGTCCAACAGGGTCCCGAGGTGGAAAAACCTGCTCTCTTGCTGTATCAACCTTTGCCTTCCACAATCAATGTCGCCTCGACCGAAGCGGGATTCAGCAAGATGCACCTTACTTGATCCAGTTCGTTGGTGGTTCCCGTGATATTCTCGCAACTGCATAGGAATGGATATGTCTGGTCCAGCACGACCTGCGTGAGTTATGGGCGCCCAAGGCATCACCGGGAGACCATGGCTGCGGAAAGCGAGAGTTGAACGTGGCACTTTGCGACCAAGGACCCAAACACAACTAAAAAGCCCACCTGGGGAAGCGATCCAGCTCCCTGTACTCCCTCTGCTGGCGCTTATGTCCACACACCTCTCTCGTGTTTACCGATCGGGGTCGTCGGCGTGCTGTGCGTGATGGTGTGCTGTGCCTGGCAGCTCCACATTCCACATCTCCGTTAAAAGGAGGGGGCTCCGTGATAGCAAAAGTGTGAACCGGCAGAGGAGACGCCGCTAAAACCTTTTTCACGAACGAGTTTGTGCTCTCGTCTTCACAATCTTCTCGTTCTCCCTTTAGCCCTCGATATTCTCTGCTTCCTGGCTTTTCTCTCTTGCTCTTCGCTTAGCATCCTTCCGTACTTCATGTGCGACACCGGGCCGGTGCCACCTTCGCCATGCGCGCGGCCTCTGCTATCGGCACTGCACCTGTGGCGAGTGACGCCGACACAGGAATCACTCCGCAAGATCATTCGGCCGTCGAAGGGGCAACTGCCGATTGTCCTGAGAGCTACCCGCATGGCCGGTCGAAAAGTGCGCGTCATCCCTCCACGGGTTGCTACCGCATGTGCAGTTTTGTTGCACAGGGACTCCATTATTCCCTGGTAGTATCACCGCCACTTCTGGAAGATGTTCGCCAATTGTCGGCGTATGTAAATTGCCCATACTTCAGCGCGACCGGAGTGCGATCGAACCGCCTCAAGTTATGCTGTTTGGGTAGAGCATTAAGCACTATCATACAGGATTTGTCACGTAGCATGCAAGAACCTTTCACCATACTTGGTACCCTACGCGTATGTTGTAGGTGTTCCAATACTTCGTACTCGACACGTTACTGTAGACTCCTAACGTACGACGGCGAGAGACGCCGCCGTTACTGCTCGGCTGGTCCGTAATGACACCTTATGTCGGAAGTAAAATGCTCGCCAAAGGATGTGAAATGGAACACCAAGTAGGTAAAGTAGGGCTTCAACTGACCCCAACTCGCATGGGCACCGCCCTCAATGCACAATTCACACAACCAACAAATTCTTGATCGTGTCGACTGTTACCCTATAGGTGGTCCTGAGCGTGTGGGCCGTGTCAGACGGAGAAGCCATCACTGTCAGCGTCTATGATCACAAGGCCGTTCAAAACCTGGAGATCACCTTGCTGTGTGGCTGGTGGGCGGAGCTTGGAATTACGGGCCTCAAGTCCATGGCACCTGCGGGGCTCAGCGGGTTAGCAGGTAAGGCAGGTACACACGCTGTGTGCTGATTCCTGATACCTACGCATACAACCCAGTACCTGCGAAGCCTTGACACTTGTGCAACCGTAATCCTCTTGATGCAGTCCTAATGTTCTTGCTCGAATGCAGTCGACACCTTTCCTGGACACTTTTAAAGGCCCTCTCATCTACTCCATTCCCGTCGTCAAACTTAAACCGTTGGGTTCACTCACGTACCGTGCCATGATGTTATGACACATCACGACACACCGCTAAGACATCATTTTCCTAATGGGTCATCCGAAGTCGCGACAATGATAGTGAATGTCATGACTCGGGCCATTGCTCACTTGGAGTAACTTGGCCATGATCTGTCTTGGTAGAGCCGGGGTAGGTCATGACAGATCACTCCTCCGCCATGACCTGCTCATGGCACGGTCATGACAGATGTGTCATTCCCTACATTTCAAACTCAATATTTTGTGTTGCAGTCCGGACGTGCAGGTGGCATGACTTGGTCATGGCCAAGTCAATATCCGGACGTGGCACGGTATCCTCTAGCGCCGCTCCCTGTTTGCTTTCACGGCCAGCAGAAGCGTTGGTAGTTCACGACTTCGCGACCTCGTGTGTGTCGAGGGTGAAAAGGCTGATGCGGTAGGAAGCAACATTAGTATCCCCCCCGCGCCCCTACCGTGCAGCGTACTTGGTGCAAAGCATCTCGCTTCAGATCCCGCAGCCAGACCGCAAGGGACGGGTGGACATGTCGAAGGCTTCGCTGCAGTTCAGCCCAGGCCCACCGCCGCCCCCGTTCGAGTTCGGTCCTTCCCAGTTCAACCCAAGAAACCCTTCCGATGGCAGCGAAGGGGGCACCACCTTGAGGCCACCGGTGGGGGGCAGGATGGCGAGCCGCGTTGTGTGGAGGGGCATCCGCACATTGAGGCGGCGAGCCGTGCTGCTGGCATGCGCTCGGAACGTGAGCGTGCTTTTGGATGATGCCACATCTTGATGCTTGTTTGGTTGCTATATGTGCGAGGAACGCGATCTTTGTGGGACGCGTGTCTATGAAACATGGAGCACATATCGTCGCAATTTTCGACAGTTGCCACCAGCACTTGACAAGTATCGCCAGCCCTTACGACAACCGCCTAAGCCGAAGGGGCGTGTCTCAAGGCACATGGGAGCGTTTCGGTGTTACTGTCATTTAGGTTTCTAGATGTCCCTCCTTACACCATTTTGGCATAACTTTGGACGCACCAGCCGGGGTCACGCAGGAGGACGACCACACAGCAGTAGGAGGTGTTTTCTCCACCTTTCTCCTGCGACGATTGCCTTAATTTTTTTATATACCTGGAGGTTCGCTCACTCTCCTGTACGGATGGGGCCGTTGCGTCCTGCACCTTCGTGTCCACACGCACGCAGGGTCCATCGATGATGATCGTTCGGGGATGGGACTCTTCCATGGCGTGGCGGATGACGAACGTGGTGAGCTGAACGGTAGAGAATAGAGAGCACTGATGGCAAAAAGAAGACTTGTTACAAGAAGTTTTGCTCCCGAACAAACAGAGAAAATAAGGGAGAAAATAGTCGTCGAGTGATAGAAACCTTTCACAGCAGCTTCCGAGCAGCCAACGTCATGTTGCAGAAGCAACCGCATGGTGACGTCAAGTTAGACGAGTGAGTTATACGGTCATGGCAGAAATTTGGATGTATGATAAACGGTTTGGGAAAGTTTGGATGTATCTCAGGAAACAAAGTGGAAGTGGAGAAAGCCTACAAGAGTGATATTGCTGTTGCTGAAACCTACTGGGTAGCGGTTATTACTAATGGTGGTAGTGGGTGGGTGTTGTAAACAAAGTGTACCTCCACAAGAGTTACATTCACTGCAGCGATCGATACGAAAACGAGATGTCTTGCATACTGCCGCCCCGAGAATTTACATACTGACCACTTCGTAACGTCGCGCAAGGATTGCGACGGTGCATCCTCATAGCCGCCGTCAACACGATCCACGGGCATCTTGAAAAGCGAAAACTCGTAACTTTCGTTCTGGAGTAGGCCTTCAAACAAGTTTGCGCCAAATAATCACCATTCTAATATGCCCATATTTGAATCTCCTACATGCTTGCACACGCGGCCCATCGCGTTCCGTGAAAGTAGATCACCTTCCATGAAGATGATTGGAAAACTTGGAAGGACGTGACCGAGCCAATAAAGGTGGCCACGGCTTCCTTCTTTGCGACGGCAAGAGAAGGTGACGAGCAGCGGGGACCCCAACACATCGCTTCGCATGGCCCAGCACGATCCAAAGGACAAGACCAACGCGACAAAGGCGACGACATCCGACAAGGATCTTCCACCGCTGCGACCACGCTTGAAGGTAGAGCAGACTCATCGACCGATAGCGGAGCTGCTGCTTGTATTTCTGATGCCGGCAGTGCGGACGAAACCCAGAACGTCCCCGGCTCGAGCGGCACCGTCATTGCCCCAAAGAGAAGCCCCATCACCGCCGTCGCAACCGACCAGGCCAGCACCGATCGCTTGTGCCAGGCTATCGCTGATCGTGTCGAGGTGCGCTCGGAAGGGAGGGGCGGGAAGATTGCGCTAAGAACGACACGGTGGCGTGGAGCGGGAGAAGCGAACGCCGGCAGCGGCAGCGGCGGCAGCAAGCAGGTGGGGGCGGGTGGCGTGGGCGGAGCGGGGCACAGGCACGAGGAGGAGGAGGACAGGGAGGGGGAAGAGGAGGAGGAAGAAGAAGAAGAGGATGAGGAAGAGGACAGGGACGGGGGGCGCGCTTCCAACGAAGGATTGTACGGAGGGCGGCTAGGGACGTTGGGAGGGACGGTTGGAAGTGAGATTGGTGGACACGACTCTCGGGGACAGGAGAAGGGACAGGTAATCCGGTAAAAAATGCGACGGCACAGCATGATAGTCTAAGGCATGCGGTGGGGCGTGCCTTGTAGATGCGAACACTTCACGCCACAGATTTTTCGGCACTTGCACGCTGCTCGAGAAAGACTTCAACGACAACCGCCGATGCTGCTGTATACCTTGGTATACCGTTAGATTGTGCTTTGAGTGTTCTCCATGAAGGTTCATGTGCTGTCTCCGAGCCTCTAACACCCAACACAAAGGGCGCGGCCTGGAGAGCATACCTAGGAGGGGCACTCCAAGGTGTGAGTGCGACACATACTCTCATGGCCATGGTCGGGCTTCAAACCATGATGCCCTCACTGGTTGGCCCGTATTTTTTGGGCTAGTGCTTTGTCGGCGAAGTCAGCCACCGGCCAATGCAGCATGTTCGATGCTGTACAGCCTACAACTACAGCATGCACTAAACAGCAGCACTCGAGGAGGGGCCATAAAATGCACTCCGTAGTAGTACGAGCCTGTACCGTGGACAACACCCCCTCGGAAAACTGCCCGAAACTTGAGTACTTGAAACAGAGCAAGGCGAGCGGAATTCGAAATGCGGAAAATCGGATTCGAACATGCACAAGAACTCTCAGTGTTGCTTCATGGAGAGTTCGAATGGCGAGTATCATACAGTCGAAACCCTGCGCTCGACTCAGCAGAGACTCAATCTGTCAACCTACCCAAACACCAAACTGCCCACTTGATCGTTTCCCGGTAGAACGAATGATTGCTATATCCGAGAAGAGGCGGAGACAGTGAGAGAGAGAGAGAGAGAGGGAGAGAGAGAGGGGGGGGGGGGGGGAGGGGAAGAGAGATAAATTCGTGGCTGTTTTTACAACCGTAGAACGCATTATTACTCTATCCGCGTACGTACGTACGTACGTAGACAATGAGAGAGAGAAACTTATGGCTTCTTGAGAACCAGTTCTCGTTTTCTTGCGGGATTTTGTTTCAAGGATTCCACTTGCCTGCTTCGACTCGTTGTTCTTCACCTTTATCGCCCTCGCTCTTTCTCTCTTGTCCTCAACCCTCGAAATTGACACAACCTACTGCCCAACCACACCTTCGTTCAACCAAACGAAACCCCAGCAGGACGCTGCCGTACAGCGTGCATTCCTCTCCCACAAGGATATGGAAGCGCGAATAAAACATCTTGACGAAGAAAAGGAACGCGCGCCTCCGGCGGGAGCGGGGCTGGGGGGGGGACCCAGGCGTCCCCTGGAAGACCATGACGGAAGCATCGATGAGGTGGACACGGAAACAAAAAAACAAAACGGGCGGGCATGTGTAATTTCTCCCCACATTATCATTGAAACCACTGTGAGGTAGAGCTGTACGCGCACGGGTCTCCACACTCTCTATAGTTTTGCTGAAACGTCGCGGCCCATGGGCAACCCATGGGCGGCCAATGAGAGCCCTTCAACCGGAACGAGTGTACTCCTAAACAATAGATTATCTGCTTTGGAGCGGGCATTGAAGCGGCTAATAATCCTTCCGCTAACCCTAACCCTAGCCACAAGCCCACACGATACGTGCTAGGTTGGCGCTGGTGGCTAAGTTCTAGGTTGATATGCCGGTGGCGAAGTTCTAGGTTGAAGTGCAGGTGACTAAGTTCTAGGTTGATATGCCAGTGGCGAAGTTCTAGGTTGAAGTGCAGGTGACTAAGTTCTAGGTTGATATGCCGGTGGCGAAGTCTTAGGTTGAAGTGCCCACGGTGGGCACTTTATGGGCACTTCATGGGCCGCCCATGGGCATGCCAATGGGCGGCCCATGGGTGACCCATGGGTGTCCTATGGGCGGTTTAGCAAAACTGTCAGTAGTGTGGAAGATTGACGCACACCGAGGAACTAGTTGTTCGATTCTGCGTATCTCTGAAAGCTCAACCAAGGTGAATAGGTCCAGAACGTAATTTTTTTTCTCTTCATGTTGTCGCAATTGGTAATGGCGAAAACTCTATGCGGGGAGAGGATGGATAGCATCCATGAGACGAATTGTATGCGATGTTGAACGAGCGCTCCAGCGATAACAACGTTTGGTTCACATTCTGTCCATCTTGCTACCTGTATGTTCTCGCTCTCTCGTACAATTTCTCTCTCTCTCTCTCTCTCTCTCTCTCTCTCTCTCTCTCTCCTCTCTCTCTCTCTCTTTGTCATTTGTACGGTGGAACGGTGGGAAGTGACACGAACGTTGTAGTCTTGAGAATCCCCGGTAGCGCCAAGATTGTGGTAGGGTTGCCGCCATTTTGTTTTTGCCCGCTCTCACTTTCTCGCCCGTTCCGTCCACGCCGTTGTTTGTTTTCGTACTATCTCAACAGTGGCTGGTCAACCTCCCCGGCGCGAGAAGCATGAAAGCGTATGCTCGCCGACGAGGGGTGAGTGAGAATCAACGTCTAGATGTGTTTTCATCGGCTCGTTGCTGCTTCGGTTTCAGGCGAAAGGCATTGATGAAACCCCAGCACAACAAGCTAGTCTGAGATGAGAGCTCCGCGCATCTTGTAGAGCACAATTGATTCAAGCAGAAGTGTCATATCGACAACTGTGGTGAATGTTCGGGTTCAACAAGGGAAACAACCATGTGAGGAAAGCACGCCTGGTATCTGGGTTAGTAAATACACGTGGAAATGATAACAGAGAACAGAGAGCTGCAGTGTAGTCTGAATTGAACCTAGGGAAATTCGTCGTAGTAGGTGATCAGTCAATGAGCGCCCCATGGGAAGCATTCCATGAAAGCCAACAGAAGTCCCATGGACTGCCTGTGGGTAGACCGCACATTATGAGCGCTGCGTGACAGCTCATGACGGCCCGTAACGGCTCACAAAGCTTCCCGAACGTGAAGCGGGTTTTTGATGATGATGTGTGCACCCTATTCGCTGCTCGTCCAGCTAAATGTGACATTTGAGTCAACCCGATGTATATGTGGCGTGTTGTCCGTCTGTTTTCGGTCAGCTGGACGGCAAGATCAAGAGCATGGAGGAGGTCGTGGAGCAGGTGCGAAAGAAGGGGGTAGAGCTTGGGGGGATAGGAAAAGGTTCAAAATGCTTACGATAAGGGTTATGATATTCTACGCGGGCTGAATCAAAGACTCTTGTTTTCAGCCTTGGTTGATCAGGGGAAACCTTTTCAGAATAGAGATACCGAGTGGGACGTGGTTCAAAGTACTAGGACTGGGTTGGACGGGAAGCCAACATTTCTTGTTTTTTTCGTGCGCCGTGCCGAATCCTTGATCGTACGGGCCCCACCTTTCCACAAGGGCTCACGAAGATCGCCAAACGACGACCAGACGAGGTCAACACTTGGTGTTGGGTACACAACCTAAGATTAGGCGATAAACCCTAAGATTGGATAAAAAAGAGTGTGTTTTCATCGTATGGTGTTCGGCGTGTTACATGGGATTGAACAAGCGAATGTTTTCCCCTGAGCTTCGGAATCTCTTCGAAAAGTTGAAAATCTCAAATTCGTGTGTTCGAATCGTTTTCGCACGCGTGGGCTGGAATTGTATGGACCAACCTATTGCCCTGTATCCACCAAAGATATGCAGAGGAGGCCAATCTCATGTCGACCAACGAGCGACATGGCGTACATGGGTGAAAGCGTAAACCGCAGCACTTATGCGCGCGCCCTACCCCGGGTTTGTGTTTCGGCCGTTCACAGTCCCTTCGCAAGGAACGTCTTACAGCTTGCGAAAGATTCTAACATGTACACCAATTATTTTAGACGATACCGTGTTTAACGCGCCAGATTTGCCCCATCCATGTAGTTGCCAGAGAGGCCACTGAATCGTCTCCATACGTTCCGGGATCAGCAGGGACAGAGCATGTCCGATATTTAAAAGATTAACGAGCGCACATGCACAAGCGCAACTGAAACATCTCCAAGAAACACCCACAGCAATATCGTTTCTCCGCCCCAACAAACGCCCTGTCACCGGTTACAAAGACCAAATTGAATCCAAATTTTCAACTTCCCACTGCCGCTATCGATTCGTCCCGTCTGTCGTTTGCCGCCCCGACACGCATCACCGGTGCAATCGATGGCCGCGTTACAACACCATCGGCTTCAGCTAGCGGTGATCACGAAAAAGGAGCAGGCAGCTGCGGCGGCCAAGCGGCAAGAGGCGGGTGCAGTATTTTTTTTTGCGATTTCACGGGTCCGTTGCGACGATTATTTCTGGTAATGTGCATGCTTGGAAATACCTATGGCATTCTTTAAGGGACCACCTCATAACTGTAACGTGTTGTAGGGGTATTTGGTGTATTGTGATGCGTACTATCCAATCGAACTAACATAGGCCAGGAAGACTCCAGGGCTAGACTGCGTATCTCGGTGATCAAACATGAGAAGGCGAGGTTGATTTTTCCCTTTGGGCAGAGAAATAGGTGAAAGATCTGGAAACGTGTTCTCGTCATTGGCGTGGCACTCTATTAAACATGGATATTCCGTGTTTCTTTGGACTACTGTTCTTGGAAAGAAAGGCGGTGCGCAAATGGAAAAATCTCGGAAAGGCGCTGTGCCGGCTTCTGCGCATGTCGGACTACTGGTACGGCTTCGCCTTCGACGGCGCTCTTTCTGGCGAGGAGAGGGCGGCAAGGCGAATCTCAGTCCTGCAACAGGTGAGACAAGGCGATAGTCCTTAACAGATTCAGACACCACGAGGTTTTTGCAGATCAGTGCTGAGTTCTTCGAACGGAAACATAGGGACACTTTATCAGTAGGTTATCGGGAGTCTTTTTCTGTCGCCGAAATCAGAAACTCGAACTTTGTCTACCTTGAAAGTGTTGTTAGTTGTTCCCACTTTTCCCTGAGATACATGTCTTCAACGTTTTTAGTCTGCAATCGTGCCAAACACGTATATATATAGTGTTTCGAATACATGTGTAACCCCAACAATATAAACTGTAGGAAAAAGAAAGAAGAATACTTCCAAACGTGTGTGTCTAGTCCTTCATCAGCTGAAAATGCGTGTGAATACACAAAGGCAGGTGTGCGAAGAAACATAGCTTGTTGATTGCTGGTTCTAGAGTGCTTCGCGCCAGCTGCAACGTGGCCTTTTTACCCCGGACTACTATATTTCTCTCTCATAAGCGAGGACAGGGGGGAAATAACAATCCTTCGGAGGTACCCCCGCCGCTTCAGACGCACATCGTTTCTTGAAGATGGGAGTTTGATTGCGAAGCGAAGAACATCATTCAGCACACACAAATGATGGTCGAGAGAAACACATTGGGAAAACATTTCAAGAGACCTGTGGCTTGGGAAGAAGCGCGAAAACAACGCTGCTTGTGCAGCACTTGATGGTGTTCTGAAATATTCTTGAGAGGATTGTACTTTTCAGAAGCAGAAGAATACTCCAGGCTGCAAGAGCTACAGATCCTACCTGAACCTACTGATTCACCCCAATTACAAGGCACGTTCCCCGTGTTTACTGTGTCTCTGGACGCGCAGATTTTGGAGATGCGCGGTGTTGGGCGTACGGCAATGAAGACTCTCGTGCTGGCCATCGCGGTACGTCGAATGTCGTTTCCGACGGGATCGAACGTAGCTGTCCCTCTCAATTCTTCCGAAGATAGTTTGCAGGCCAAACTGATCAGCCGAGATATAATCACGCCGCATTTATCACAGGAGCGATACCCGCGATCGGTCTGGTCGAGGTTCCGGCAACTGATGCGGCAGCCGAGGGCTGAGCGGAAGCGACGCGACATGGCGGTCTGCGCGGTGCTTCTAGGGGTGAGATTTTCACTCGAAACACGATTACAACTCACGGTTCGTAACGCCCATGTACCGAGGAGGTTAGTTCGTTTTCGGCGAGAGAAAGAAACCCAGAAGCGGTTAGCGACTGGGGTTAGGCTTTGGAAACTAATACTCCACACGTCGATCATAAACGTGAACTCAATACAATCACGAACTGCTTTCTTTAATTGGGACTGCCGCTCAAGAGCAGTTGATGTATCGAGAACGGTTATACTTGTTGATGTCCATAACATCTTCGCATCAACCACGACCTATGCTACAAATCTTTCAGGAGATCGACAACCAGTTCTTCAAGTACACGACTGCCGGATGGCCCTTCTCTCGCCTCGTCGACCTTGCCTCGGACTCCCGGCTGGTACAGAAGCCAGCCTTATCCGTCCTCTACGAGGAGGGGGAGACGGCTCCGAGGACGATCGACAGCGAGACAACGGTAACCCAAGCAGGTGAAAAAGAGCAAGACCATTCGACCAAAATGTATTGAGCCAAATATAGTTACCCTCCTGCCGAACATTGTACCTGAAAAGACAACCCCTGAGATGTATGTCACCGTCCTATTGGAAGTTGCTCCGTACCATCTGTTTCATTTCCCTCCTCAGGAAAAAGCTAGCATGGTTACACAATGATCGCAATATCATCAGAAATGTACTGTCTGCATTCATTGCAATACATTCATCTGTAAGAAAAACACTCGCCAAAATGCGAAAAATCAACTCTTCTGTCGCTTTAGGCCTCGATCCAGAATGATATCCATGCAAACTACTGCTGCCGCTTTGTATGGTGTTCTTTAGGGCGGTGGGGGGGGGGGGGGATACTGTGCCCGCCTACGCGGCGGCGTTTCTCGTGGCTTGTCCACGCACCGTTTCGGCCGGCCGGCCGTGCTTTGCGTTTCCGCAGTACCAGCCGCCCCCAGCACGAAGAGCTTGGTTGGTGTTGGGCAAAACTAGTACTTCAGATTTCCAGATTTCCGTCAACGTATAGTATCGTTCTGTGCTGGTGCATAGCCACCCTCCCAGCATCCGAGTAATCGAGCAGCAACTTTGGATTCAATCGGACCCGTGTGGTGCAGAGTGCTGCCGCCACTTTCATATGTTCCACTCGAGAACATGGGCCCCGGAGTTTCTGAAATGAAGAACACGAGTGGGTACAGTCTGCCGACGTCCGGGAAGAACCCCGAACGCGTCTTTCCGGATTCCTTTTGGTTGCCCCACAGAGCAGTCTAGGTAGAAGCCTCGCTAAAACAAGGTATTCTGCGTGCTCTCGGCATTCGCTCGAGTGGATGTAATCCTTGTAGTTGTCCTTACGAATTCGTCCCACCATGTAGACGAATGAATGCGAGAGTTCGTTTCACCGCTACTGCTGCCGTGGTACTTGAATCGTGCTCGACTCTGGGCGTTGTTCGCTTTCTTCTCGGGGTCCTAATTTCGTCGTCCGCACACGCTTCGCCAGTGCTCGTCCCCAGCGTCGTGTCGATAGCGACCAAAACCACCGACAGCAACAGCGACGACGACCCCAGAGTGGCTTCAGGGTCTTCGTGCAACGAAACTACCTCGTGCAGCGAAGGTGGCAAAAGCAGGGTGGCGGCGGGGCCCAGTAGCACCAGCAGTAGAATGAACAGTAGTATCGGAGGAGGAGGGAGTTCGGGCGGGGGGGGAGTACAAGGAACACGGCCACCACAGCAGCAGCCGCAGGAGCAGGAGGAGAGATGGACGGTTGGAGCTTACGTTATCGTTCGCGGGTCCGTAAACCTATATATCCTCGAGAGGTGAGTGTGTCTGAAAGCGTACATCGCTGCCCTCGACGTCGTGGATGTCCATATCGCCCAAGAAATCCGTAAAGAGTATCCACTCCATGGAGTATGGCGTAATCCGTGTTGTTCGTTCTTCGATAGGGTGGTCCTCGAGATTCCCCGCCAATGATGTTGACAAGCCCGTAGCCACGAGCCGGCTATACCTATCCAAGAGGGTGGTGGTTGCGGTCAGGCTACGAAGCCCTTCGCTTATACGAATATCTTATCACACCAGCTACGCTGCTCGCATGTGGTACTGCGATGCGACGACATCAATTTTTTGCAGTAGTTGTCCGAGGTAACCCGGCTGCCCTCGCCCAAACACCCATGAGTGCAACAAACAAGATTGGAAAAATGAACGAACTGTCGTATCCTAAACGGTTAATCCGCCTCGGACATCATACTCCCCTCTCTTCTTGCGCACGTTGCACTATCCAGAGGACCAGCGGCGATGCTGCCAACACCCGCGTCTCAGGACGATCTTGCCACGAAGGCTTCCAGGGGGCAGCCCATGTACCGACCCCGCCCGCCAGCCGAGTGGGAGGCGGCGGACGTGGCGGTGGAAGCGGTGAGGTTTCCCTGGCCGCTTGCTTAGCTGAGATGCAGGACATATGTATCGAGGTGTTATTCTGACGGGAGAATGCCAGTTGTTTGGTACCCTCCTCGAGCCTGCCATATGTAAATCACATTCTGAGTAGATTTCCGACCCCGTGCGTCCGAAACACGTTTCAGTATTGTACTTGCACCTCTTGAAATTTGGAAATAATCGGGAAAGGTCGCCCGTGACACTCGACCTACACATACACATATACAACGAAATAAACAATGAAGTGGTCATCCTACTAGGGAAGATACCTTGACGCATATAGGTTCGCCCAGAGCTCGAAACATTGGTGGGCGAAGGCAGCAACGGCCGCGGGACAGCGGGATTTTTTCTGGCAGCTGCTCGTCGGTTTTTGCTTGTATTGGCATTCTTGGTGTCTTCGAGTTGAAAAAAAACTTTGCACTCTCAGAATACGACAATGTCTGTCCAAGGGCTCATTTATCCGAGACATTGTGGGGAACAAAATCAACAAACGACACCCAGTTAGCGTAACCCCCACATACCCGGCCATACATGACGCCGCTTCCCGACGCGTCAAAATCATCGCATATTTTGTTTTGCACTGCTTTCAGCAAGAAGGGCAACCTGGCGTCGGGAGGGGTGCTGGGCTGGTGGGGCGTCGACAGCGCCGGGCGTTCACCGAACACTTGGAGGCCGTCATGTCTGGGAGGGGGGCAGAGCCTCGCCGAGCTCGCACGCGGAACATGGCACCCAGGTGGGTGAAAACTATGCCCACCGCGCAGAAGGGTGGATGGAAGGAGAACTTCGTCCAGCATAAAATCCGGGATCGAGAGCCGATCCAACCTCACCACCTCTTACGATCGTGTGATGGCTTTGGTTCAGAGGGAGGTACAACCACTCTGAGCTTGCGACACGACCAACGTGAGAATTGGAAGCACCTTGTACCACAACCTACGGTGTTCCTCAAAGCACGCATCCAGAGCAGTACGGGACTCCTAGAGCTTCGTCGCACGCAGAATCCGACAATAACATACCCTGCGAGACTTTACACGATTCCATGGACCGTCCATGTAGCAGTAACAATCCGAACAACCAACAACGACTGAGGGTGTTGTCCAACGATCGGTTGATGCTGCAGGCTGACGAGTTGTGTCTGCATTGATCTGTGCATGCCCGTCGTCTATTCATAGCTGACCATGTCTCCGAATAGCAGTAAGTCCCTGGAAACAAATGTTAAGCTCAATGGACACACCTCACCGTACACCAAGCGTGAGGAAAGGTAGCGAGAACGCCCAACAGTGAGTCACCGAAACTTGTACCTATGTTACAAACACTACGCGCAATGCACACACCAAAAACCGCCCTGCCGTTGGCGAACATTTGGCCGTCCTACACGAATTTCCAGATGGAAAGCGTGCCGCCTGGGAGCTGGAGCTTTGTTTGGCGACCGTCCTGAGGCGGGATCAAACCCAACAACAACAACTGGCCTGTCGCAGCCGCCAGGGGTGGCGACGGAGCCGCCGGGGGCTGGTCCCGCGCTGGAGACGGCCGTCACAGCAGAGGAGACGGAGCTGTTGGAGATCGGGGTCACCACGTACCGGAGGCTTTTGGCGGCCGGCGTCAGGGAGCAGGAAGGCCGCGCGGTGGCCGTGTTGAGAGCGACCGGGGCGATGGTGAGGGCCCGGGTCATGCGCGTGGATCTGTCGGTAACAGTGATAAGCGAACTCTTTTCTGCCTATGGTATCATCTCGCCCGTTGTCTGCGCTATCCCATTGATGTACTGTCACTCGTTAGAGGGTGAGAATCGTGCCATCGGTGGACGTTTCGGTCGATTGAATTGTGAATCTATCTGTGGACTGAGTTGACGGAACACTCGTCGTCATATCGTTGCCCCGTAATACCAGTCTCTCTGCCCCTTGTCTAGCCCATCTCCTTCACCAGTTCGAACACCACCCCATTTCCTCCCGACTCCTCCTCACACACTGCCTACGCCCGCTACCCCCATCCACGCTGGAAAATAAAAAACTACACGAAACCACGTCCAAAACAAAATCCATACGAAATCAAGTCGCACCTCCACCGTTGAGGCCCTCGTTGACCATCTTCCCTCTCTCCCATTCTACCTTCGCGGCCACCCCCCCGTGCAAACGGACTCTTACTTATCGTTACTCGAAAACGAATGTCGCAGGACGGCGTCCCGACACAGGCCCTAGCTCGCATCTGCCGCTACGGGACAGAGCGCAGCACCGGACCGCAACTCGCCAACCCACCTCTCCTGAACCCTTCGTTGGGCCGCGTATTTCCGGGACGAGAGCAGGGAAAAGCTGAGTCGGCGTTCGGTTTCCCTAGGGGTGAAGACAATGGCAATGACTACAACGACAGCGTCATGTGCCGAAAAGGAACGTTCCGAGGAACTGTATTCTTCGTCATGGAGGGGCACGGGGAAGTCATCCTAGGCGGCGGTGAGACGCAGAGATTCGATGGTCGCCGTGACGAGGGCGGTGGCTCGTCCACCGAGAGTCTTTTGGCCGCCGCCGCGTTTGGGAATAGGCGAGCTCCTGAGAACAGAAGAAAGCGTGGCCGCCGTCGAGGCACCCATGTTGGCGGCGGCTCTAATTGTGGTGTTGGTGGTGGAGGTGACGGAGGCGGAAGCAGTACAGAGAGACAGGAATCGACCAGTGGTTTTCAGGAGGATGACACGTCTATTGGAGAATCGTCGGCGTTGACCTGGACAGGGATGGTGAGTGGAGAGGGGACACCAGCAGCAGCTGTAGTGGCGGTGGAACCGGAGCAGGAAACAGCTGCGACCGCTGTCGATGCAGGCTCAACAGTGTCAACAAATGGCTACCCGCAAGAGCTGATACCGAACGAATATCACGGAATGCGGCGAGATCCGAGGGAATCGACGCCGATCCCGTCCGCCGCGGCGTTGTCAATTTCATTCGTAGAAGGGCAGGAGCGGGCTGATGGGGACGGCGGCAGTAGCGGAGAGGGTTGGTGGCCAAGGTCGACAGGCTCTGCCGGCTATCTCAAGAGGGGGGATTTTTTTGGAATAGAGCCCCCGGACTCGCCTACCACCGCTGGCGAACAGGCGAGAGAGCTCCCCTACAAGGGGAGAGGGGAAGCAGCATGTCCATTCCTACACTACGAGGGCTCGATTTTGAAGAAACGTGCATAACGTGGCAAACACGCTCAGAAATGGAGGCATGATATTGTCAAGTTCATGCGGCTGAACATAAAGTTTACCTCATTGCCAACCCAAACAACGCTTATCGACGCGTCGCTTCTCGCCGGTGTCCCTCCGCTTGCCTTTGCACACACCCAGAGTTGGCAAGGACCGCCGGATCTTCCAGGATCCACTGCCACTGCCGGTGGCACCACCCCTGCCACCACCGCCGCTGCGCATGGCCGCTCCGACATCACCGGAACCGGTAGCACTGCAGCAATAGAGCCATCCGTGGCATCGAACACGACGGTCCAAGCCATGGTAGTAGCCTCGGCACCGGCAGCAGCAGCTTCCACACCACGAGTACCGGACGGCTCCGGCACCAAGCACAGGGATGGCTCCTCGGTGCGACTACGGCCGGGCCTCGTCGCGACCACCGACCCTTCGGCCATAACCAGGGACCCGGCGTCGGCCGTGCCGGCACCAGTGTTCCCGGGCTTGCACAAGGCGTCGCTTGTGGCGGGGCCCGGCGGGCTGAGATGTCTCACGGTGGGGCTGGCGGTGCTGCAGAAGGTCTGCCCGCCGGTGTATCGCCGGCTGGCGAGGGTCGTTTCTGAGAGGTACGGCAGCGGGGGGGGGCGTGCTCATTCCCTGATTGGTTGGATGGTGACCACGTGTCCCTTTGAAGACAGGGGCGTTCGAATTGAGCAGAGACAACCCCGGCAAAGGGAAGGCTTTACGATGTAATTTCGCCGTGTTTGGCTCTGGAACAAGGGGGTTGGTCGGTACCACAATACCAACAACGCTGAATCCTCAGAGACCGACGGCCCTCCAGTGTCAGTGGCTTTTGGTACAGCGCGCAGACGTTTGGCCAACCACGTCCTCACGTCTTGCTTGCCTTGGTCTGCACCCATTTGGCACGCATCACGTCGACGGTGGACGAGGGCGAGGGGAGGAGAAAGACGACGACTGAACGAACTGAGCGACAACACCATCACAACAACCACAACACCGACAAAATAAATTGATGCAGGTACTTGGAATGGGTGACGGAGGCCAGACGCAAGAACGAAGAAGACTGGCAAGAAAGCCTCGAGAGCGAGTCGGTTCACTCTCTCAGCAGGTCGTTCTACGACAGCTTCGCCAAGGGGAACTGCAGCGGCAGCATTGCCGGCAAGGTGAGTCCAGTTCGGGACGAAACGGATGAACGCATCATGCCATTATCCGCACTCGTGAAGACCTGCCTTTCCTTGAGGACGCACGGGGTTGGTTGCCTCAACCCCAGCTCTGAAAAAGCTGCCACGCTACCTTCTCTTGAAACCTACGAGAACCAGAGAATCGTAAAAAATCAACACCGCAGCGGAAAGAATACCTGAAGGCGGTGGGGGCGTTCTAACACCTCCTACGAACGCTTCGGCGGTGTTTAGCTCTCAACCCTTGCGTTGCCTACGCATCTCCCTGGCTCCATCAGGCCACGCCCCCACACATAGTGGTTTTTTGGTGCACCTTGCAAACATTTTGGACTATTGCACGTTTCCTGCGGTGTAACCCCCCCGGGCGCGCTTAGTTTCTGCTTGTGCCTCAAGATTGAGCGAAGTACGGCGCCACCCAATGTGCAACCGTAAGTGATATAGAGTATTACTGAGGGCCGTTCATTCGATCAACACACAACTATTCACTTTTTCACTATCGATTTACCCGCGAAGTTCGTAGCCCCTTCCGCTGTGTTGGCAACAACTACTCTCTGCACGTTGCACTGATGTCGTCACAACACAGGGGCCCAATGGCGTGGAGTCATCCGTGGGGTGGATATCCAGTGCCGAAGGCGGTCGCGGAAGCAGCAGCGTTCTCGGTTTCGGTGATAGGGCCGGCAGCGACGGAGACGAACTTACCATCGAAGCAGCCACGCTAGGGATGGCCTCGTCGAACTCCATCTCCGGATCGGGCAAGAGCAACAAGAGCATTTTCGAACTCAGCCGGAGGTATGTTGGACTGGCGCTTTGCTCGTCGGCCCGCAACGTCGTCCCGGTGCGTCTCGGCCGGGTGGTCGTGCCGGCGCAGCGAAAGACGCCTTCGTCTTCAACCAGTCCGCACCGCAGCCGACAGAGGCGTCCCGTTCCACCTCCTCCAGTAGCCGCGGTCGCAAGCAACAACAACAATACCAGCGATGATGGGACAACACGCCGACGAGTTAGCCCGCGCTCCAAAGCCACCTTTACGGTGATCTCTAGGGCTGCCCGTCGCCACTGCTTCGCTCCTGCTCCCGCAAGTGCTGCCGGTGCTGGTGTGGGGAGTCACGCCCCTTCTACTGGAACGATTACGGACGGCCGACAAGCGGCCGATCAAACTAAAACCAAGTCACCTCCGCGCACCAACACCGGCCCCATCTCCACGGGTTCGGCGTCCGTCTACCACACGCACCATCAGAGTCCACGAGGTACCGGAGGCTCTCCAGACAACACAGGAAAGACCATGGTTCATTCTTGCGGTGGTTCGGTGACCGGCGGGGACGGTAGTGTCTTCGCCGGGAGCAATGGTAGACGTGGCGGTGGCGACGGTGGCGGCGGCGGCGGCAGCGTCTGCAGTCGTGGACACCGCTGTGGTAGCAGCCTCGCACGAGGGGTAACGGTGCCTTCGGAGCGATTGGGCACAGAGTGGGCGGCAGCAAACGTGTCAAACCTATTGGCGAAGTATCACCAACTTGAGACCTACGACTGCCCAGTGTCCCCGTTCTCGGACCCCCCTTCCTGGGCGGACATCCCCCCCTTGGCGGTGATAGAGCCACCGGGGTACTCGCCGTCGTCGAACACCCCGACCTGTGCAGCAGCTGGCATCGGAGCGGCGATGCTGCCAGGCGAGCGTCCGCCAGAAGTAAGCGGAGCTAGCCCGGCCAACGAAACGGCAGCTAGTCTCCCTTCTTCGCCGCTACACGTGGAGGATGGAGCACCAACGGAGGCGGCGGCGGTGGCGACCCGGCCCGCTGAAAAGACAGTATTCCAGATCGTCACTTCTCGGCGTCGCCCGAGCTACGGTTGGGGATGGAAGCGCCCTCCGGGGCAGAAGGGCGGGGCACGCAAAAGAGTACTAGTCCCTGGAAGCACGACGGTGCCCTCGCCGTCACTCCTAGGGCGGGAGCGGCCGGGCCGGACAAACATGAGCGCGGTTCCACCAACCTCGTAAATAAACATTGTCTCATGGATTCGGTAGGTAGGGTAGGGAACGAGCGGGGAAGGAACGTTTTGCGTTCTTGAGCGAACCTCCGCCACTCGTTCGCAATGTGCGACGTTTGGTGGGTTGAGGAAAGCTTGCACAGATAATGTTGCTGAAATTCGATATTGTGATAGCAGCCCGACCAATAGTCGTCAGCGTCGCCTGTCTGAAGCCATTGTATTTTCAGAACGGGCAGCACTACAGTAGTTCGATAACCAGGGCGAAGAAAAAATGCCCCGACCGGAGTTCGATGGACCCAGCAACAGATCAATACACTTTACAGGTGATCACCAGAAAGATCGTATGATACAAACACACACCCCAGGAAACTCACGAGGAGCATCGAACACGGTCGACTACCTAGCGCGTACTCAAATAATTCTCCCCCAACGAGCTGACGCGCGTCGGAAAGACGTTAGGGTGGTGTAACGCCACCAAACAGGCTGCGATTGCACGGTTGGCGGTGGGGAGGTGGTGAGTTGTTTTTGCCGACCCACGCTGTTCGTTGTGATGGGCTTGTATCCGGTCGCTAGACCGAGATTGATCGGAGGTCGGCAGTGTAGCAATGCACACACAAGTCCGCCGGTACAGACCAGCGTGTAAGAGAGCCAATAGTGCCAGGTATGATCGATTCGCTAGGAGATTTTGCAAAGGTCACCTTGCTATAGGCAATCGTGGTTATGCCACCGAGCGCTCGATCGCATTTTCGTGACGAATTGGGAAGGTATCGGAAAAATTCAACCCCGATGAAGCTTCTGCAATCTTGGCTGGACGATCGCCGTGCCCGTAATGCGCCGAGGACATCGCCTTGCACACGTGCCAACGGACGAAACTTCTTTCGACCGGAGACACTGCACCGGAAGGTTACTTTTCAGACCTTCGCCAGCCTTCTAGGCGATCGATGGCCCTCCGATATTCCATAGTATCACATTCAAGCTCGTTTACACAGTCAAGTTCAATGGAGAAACATAACCTAAGCATTTCTTGTTATGTACACTTCGTATTCGGCGGCACTCTCCCTCTGCGTGACGCATCGACAGACAGAGAAGGAGCTCATTCAAAATAATCGCCTTTCGCCACCCCGTGTGGACTCCAGCCAGTCATGACGGTATGAACAACAGTTGAAGGCTAGTCCTGATCTTCGTCTTCGTATTGCCGGTGCCACCGCATCGTCTGCCACACCGAGAACTGGTCCAAAAAACAAGGAATCTCGAGAAAGCGAGACGCTCACTCTAACCCAGCTGTCGTCGTCCACATCGCCATCACAACCACGGCGGCGAGGCCCTCGACACACGGTCCGTCTAGGCTAGATCTCGTCCTCGTCTTCGTCGTCGTCCAATTCGTCGAACGGCCTCTCCGGGAAATCCCCGGATGTTACGTTCTTCCCGCGCACGAAGCCCCCGAAGCCCTTCTGGCACTCGAACAGGCGCTTCCCTCGCACCGTGCCGTCCCCGCGGCCCACCGGCTCGTCGAAGCGAACACCCACCCAGTAGCCCGCCTGGCGAAGAACGAAGGGAGGAGAGAGAGAAATGGATCTGATCGATGCATGTACAAAAATCGAATTGAGAAAGGCAATAAATGAGCTTCGATGAACGACTACAAACGATTACGAAAAACGCAGAGGTGTAGACTATCAAGTGCCAGGCGTCTACGGGGACCATACCAACAGTCAGAGAGCCACGGGATCGTGTCCAGACCCGACGCACAGCATCGAGGCTCGCGACGATTATCCCAAGCATCTAATGTTTGGGCCGTTGATCATAGGAAGGTATGCAGCGACGACTACGAAAACGTTGAGCAACTTGTTTTTTCACGTGTTTCGTGTCGAAAGGTGACGTCTTTCTGGACCAAACCAAACTGCAGTTTGGCACTCGACGTCAGCACTGACATCTGGAATACAAATCGCTTTCGTGCGGAACAAAACCCGAGCACGGTTCACGCCACCGTGCTCACTCTGCCGATGCCCCAGCCCCTAACGGAGGCACTATCTACGCCCTGAACATGGTTTACCTGATGAAGGCAAACCTCGAACTCATAGAGCAGCTAGCAGTTGGTAAATGATGCTCCGTATAATTCAATTTTCGAGGCATTCCGTTAGTGTGCTCCTTGTAGACCTCGTGGGCTTGGTGGATGATGTCTGTCATTGCCGCACGGGCTTCAAATGAGAAAACGAAATAACAAACAACGACCAACCTGCAAGCCTTCCACCTCTCCCACGTACTCCACCACCCCTCTCCTGCCCCCCGGCTGCACTTCGCACCGTTGCTCCACGGCGATCCCTGCCACGCTGTCCTTCCCGGGAGGGGGCTCGTCCTGAAAATTCGGAAACAGAGGTCGTGTAGACAAATAAGACCGCCAAAAGATGACAAGCCTGCGAGTCGCAGGGGCCGAATCTACGCGAACGTGGTATAGTTGTCGGCATCAGCGCAGACACAGGGGGGGGGGTCCCTGCAGGGCGTACGCACCACAAAAACGATGTGTGGTAATGTGCTCATTATGTCATTATGGCAACATGTGAGTGACACCGAAATGTTGCGCCGCATGCAGATAGCCTTTCTTCACGTTGTATTTCGCGCGTCTCGTGTTCGCTGCGGACTCCCCAACACAAAAAACGTGGTACAGCTCCCATCGAGGGGGAAATCAGCATACACCACAAAAACACACAAAAAGAAGATAGCTCTGAGGGCTAGAGCAAGTGACACCCACAAAACAAGCGGTGGTTCGTTGCTCTCTCTCTCGGGTATTAGCAAGCCTACGTACGGCACTACAAGAGCCCGAGAGGGTACCATCGGTCAAACGATAAACGGCGGTGCATTCATTGTCACTGACACGGATGAAAGTAGCCGCCCGCCCCGTGTGCAGGGAACCACGGCGTGCATGCGTCAACCAATAACCCGACCGTCAACCACGCTTCGAACAGCTTGCTCGGGGTGATTCAGGTTTTATATATGACTCCAGCGACTGCAGGGCTCAGGAGCGGAGTGGCAGGCGCCGTTTGGGGGGGGGCGCGTCGAGAGTAAACGCCTTTGTTCCGTCGTTTCGCGTCTCTGGACTTCCTGTCCCAGGCCACGTGCGTCACATTCTTCTTTTGGTCGCTCACCGATGGGGCTTTGCCCGCCGCCCTCTTGGCTTCCCGTTCTTTCTCGACCCACGGCTCCACCCAAGTCGAGTCTTTCGCCTTCTGTTCCTTCACCCAGCTCCTGCTCCCACCCACAACAGCATGCCACGTGACACCGACAACACCATGTGAAGGCCAAAGCGTTGTTAGGGGGGCGCACGACTTGCAGACATACATTCCCGGTGGAAGGGGGTAACAGAAGGGCCAAGGTTGGCATTGGTTGAGAACGGCAACGGCCTCCAACCATCGAACTAGCATAACCTGTTGCAACGCCAGCGGAGTGGCGGGGGGGGGGGGGGGGGAAATAACCCCTCCACCGGCGGCGGCAATTGGGGGTTTTGGGGGAATTGAAGAAGCAAAATAATTTCAAAAGGGAGGGGAAACCCCCAAAAACCGGGGAAAACCCAGGGGCGGGGGCCCCTCCCCTAATTCCCCCGAAAAAAATTTGGAAAAAATCCCCCAAAAAGGGGTCCCCAAAATTCAGC